ATCATAGCTTCCTCAGATGCCTATTTTGAACTGAAGTCCTGCTAGCCTACATTCACTAATCCCAACCCCTCCACACCCCAACTTTCTGAGTACTGTTTGGAAAAATATACCCCCCTCCCCCATTAAAAAAACTAAACCCAAAGTACAATCTGATTTTCTTTCATACAGTTACTTTCTAGTATTAGATTACTATGAAGGTTTGAGTTAGGATCATTCCTAAGAGAATTTGGTACCCAGGCAAATAAATGACTGGGAAAAAGAATTCTGGTGATCTCATATTTGTTTGATTGTAGGATTATTTAAGATATACATCTTGCTCATCCTTAAGTGGATAGAGAGGTCACAAACGTGTAGAATGGGAGCAGGAGAGTGGGAAGGCCATGAGTATGTTGTTGTCAGCCTTCTGCCCTCTGCCTTTGTGTTATTGAAAAGACAAGTGTGTGAGAGCTCGGAACATGAAAGTGGTCTTTGTGCAAATAATTAAGACTTTACTTTGTCTTCACTGATTGTGCTAGGAAGAGATATGTGGAAACAGGTCTTCTTATAAACAAATTACCTTAGTTTTAGCTCATCAGTTGGCCACCTCTGTGGTTATACACTCCAAAAATGTGGCGTCCTATATGACTTTTGCTTTGCTGTAAAATGGAAGTGACTCGGCTTGTATGTAAGTGTCCTCATCATTGTTTAGAAGCTCTTTCAAATAATGTAATTCTTGGTAGTAGTTGTGAAAGCATTAAGATTCCATATCCTTATTTGTAGAGGGAATTGGAGTGAGCAATGATTTGGAATGCAAGAAATTCAACTTTCACAGGTAAAATTCTAACTGAAAATTAGGATGCATAGCCCGTAGGGATTTGTAAGGTATTCAGAGTTTCCTCACCTTTGAAAATAAATACAATAAAAATAACAGTAACACTAGTTAACACTTCTTTAGGACTTAACATGTGACAGATAATATTTGAATCTCTAAATATGTATTCAGTCTCACTTATAGAGGATGAATGTTTAATTCATCCTCCCTTCCCCCATTTATAAGTATAATTCCTCCCTCTCTACACTCCTTTCAGTTCCTTACCTATCTATTATTTTGGGATCATACCCAGCTGTGTTCAGGAGTCTGCACTCAGGAATTACTTTTGTTGGTGCTCAGGGGACCATATGGAATTCTGGGGATTGAACCTGGATCGCCCACATGCAGAGCAAGTGCCCTACCTGCTGTACTATTGTTCTGGCCCTGCTCATCTCTACTTTTTCCATAGAGAAATACCATCATGGGGCTGGTGTGAGAGTATAGCAGGTAAGGCACTAGTATTGCATGTGGATGACTGAGTTCAGTTCCTTCTACTCAGGATGGTCCCCTGAGTTCTGCCTAGAATTATCCTTCAGCACAGAGCCAGGAATAAGCCTTGAGCACCACTGGGTTGTCCCCCCAAAATAAAGGGAAAATAATCATTCATATTTGTTCATAACTTTTTATCCCCTGTCCCCTCTACCAGGACTCTTTGCTCCACCTCTCTAAACCCTAACAGACTGTAAACTCCCTGAAAGCAGGTGGTTAGTTTTCTTCATTTTCAGATCTCAGTATCTGGCACATGGGAGGCATTCTTTGATTATTTATTGAATGAATGTCTCTACAGATTGAGGAAACAATTTATCATATAACAGTAATAGGAAGATATGAGGACACTTGAAATGATTTGTAAAGTCATGGATGAAACTGAAATTCTTTTCGTTTTTCAACAATCTCCAACTCCAGGAGTATGGCATGATTTTTAAACACTGCTTTGTGGTTCCTTTTCTTCTTGTGATCCTTAATATTTCATCTCATAAATGTCTTAAGCCCTCAAATTACTTTGCAAAGTGATCACTTTTCCCTTATTCCATTTTTCAGCCAGAGTGCATGAAATGATTTGACTTTCATTGTAAGATTTTTCTTTGTTGAGGGGATAGGGGAGTGGGGCATATGGAGACTGTATGTGGTGCTGGGATTTGACCCAGTGTTGGCAGGCTACAAGTTAAGCATCTTCACTTCCATACTTTTATTTCTCTGTCCCTTATTATAAAACTTTAATACAGAAGTCTCAAATTTGCATGTTTTTTTATTGTAAAAGAAAATACCTAGTGATTTTCTGAATTCAAATAGTTCTGTCTCTTTTTCGTTCTGATCCCTTGGTGGCAGAGGGTAACCTGTACAATTAATCTGAGTCCAAGATTTGTCACTGAGCTATTTGTCCCAGAGCTATTAAGTTCAATGTCACACACAGAATATTACACTACATACTTGGTTTTAAATTGGTGATTTGTATGGCCTTTGATAAGAAACTAATTCTGGAAATGGTTATGCAGAACAAGCATTACCAGTATCTAATGGTTTGTGTAAATTGAGGGAAAAGAAATGAAGGAAACAAAAATCAAAGAATCTGACATAGATTCCTGATTCTTTCCTTGATTGTTACTGACCTGCAGAAAAGACTTGCTTAGAGAATATGGGAAGTTAAAACACGGATGCCAGTTGTTTTAACAGTGGTTGTTTTTCTCTCTTCTTCTGCATACAGTTGTATTTAAACTTTTAATCTTAAATAATTTTAACTTAATTTCATTGATATAATTTATTTTTGGGAAGGAATGTTTAATATTACTTCAATTTTGTGTTCTGGTAACATTAACTTTGGGTTGTGGTACTCCCCTTTCTTTCACATTATGGAACTCTGGAATAATCATTTTCTATATTGATTTTTATCTTCTAAGGTTCATGGCGTTATAAATCCCTCTTGTCCCTGCTGTACCTTTTACTTTTTTCTGTTTTGTTTTTTGGGCTATACTTATTGGTGCGCAGGACTACCTGGCTCTGTGCTCAGGGGATCATATGTGGTACTAGGGATTGAACTTGGGTTAGCATTATGCAGAGCAATTGCTCTACCTCTCTACTTGCCGTGCTCTGGACCCATTTCCTTTTTTTTTTTTTTTAAAGCAGAGACTATCTCAAATACATAAAGATTCATAAAAAAACAATAGAAATATTTGTTCCTACTGACTGGATTTACAAAATGAAAAAATGTAGCTATGTATATTTTAAAATTCTTTTTGTTTTAGAATTTCTTGTTTTTGTTTTGAGGCCACACTTGGTGGTGGTTAGGTTTTACTCCTGCTTTTGTGCTCAGGGATCTCTCCTAGTGGGGCTCAGGCAGGGCATATGAGGTTTTGGGGGTTAATCCCAGGTCAGATACAAGCTAAGTGCCCTACCCACTATACTATCTCTTCTGGCCCCTATTTTAGAGACTGTAATTTATTTTTGAGAGAGAACCAAAGAGTTGAAGTCAACTTTTTCTATTTTCTGAATTTCATTCCTTTTTCTTTCTGTTGTTTCAGCATTAGCAGGGAATCTTCTCTTTTTAAACACAAACTTGTAATTTCTGTTCTTTTTAATGGTGTGTGTGTTGCTGGGGATTGAGCCCAGAGATGTGAGGCTCTACATCCCTGGCCCTGAAAAATACATTTTTGGGGGGTTGTGAGGGCCACATTCTGGTGCTCCAGGGGCCACATCTGGTGGTGCTGGGAGACCATATGTAGTGCTGGGATTTGAACCAGGGTTGCAGGGCTGGCCACAGCCACATACTAGGCTAGTGCTTTAATCTTTCTACCATCTCTCAGGTGCCCCCAAGTAATTTTTTAAATGAGTTTTTACCTACTTTTTTTGGGGGGGGACTCCCCAGCAGTGCTAGGGGTTACAATTAGCAGTACTGGGGTGGGGGGTGGTTATGCAGTGCAGGGATCTGAACTTGGGACCTCTGCATGTAGGGTTTATAGTCAAGCTTTTTGGACTATGTTGTGATTGCTGTGTTTTAAAGTTTTTTTGTGGAGCCTTATCCAGTGGTTCTGGGAGCAACTCTTGGGTCTGTTTGGGAGCTAATCCTAGTAGTGCTCAGGCACTTAATTCAGGGCTCACCCAGTATTAAGTCAAATTAATTATCTTATTTAGGGGTCACACCCATCGGTGCTCGGGGCTCTCTGACTCTGCATTCAGGTATCATTCCTGGTGGGATTCCAGGGACTTGGGTAGGCCACATGCAAGGCAAGCATCCTGTACTCTGTACTATCTCTTTGGCCACTGGTCCCTTTGTTGTTTTCGAGGTACACTCGATGGTGCTCAGGCATTAATCCTGGCTCTGCACTCAAGAATTACTCCTAGCTGTGTTTGGAGATTAGCTGGGTATCAAACCTCGGACAGCCTACCCTCTGTACTATTGCTCTGATCCTAGGCCCCCAGATTCCCCCCCCCCCTTTTTTTTATTGTTTGGGGCCACATCCTGCAGTGCTCAAGACTTAGTCCTGTCTCTGCACTCAGGGATCACAACTGACAGTGCTCAGAGGACCATACGTGGTTCCAGGGATCAAATCTGGTCTGGCCGTGTGCAAGGCAAGTGCCATACCACACTGTACAATCCAGCACTGTGTCTCATTTTAATAGTCTATTTTGTGCTTCAATAAAAATAACTTAAAAAAATATTTTGAGAGGCGATGCTTGGACCACAGTTGGTAGTTTTTAGGGCTTAATTCCTGACTCTGGTCAGGGATCACTCTTGGCCGTGCTCGGATGTGATATATGTGATGCTAGGAATTGAACTAGGGTCATTTGTGAGTGAGGCAAGCACTTTAACCCCTGTGCTAATTCTCAGCCTTAATAGTATATATTTTGTTTGGGGGTTACGCCCAGCAGTGCTCAGGGCTTATTCCTGGCTCTGTACTCAGGAATTACTCCTGGCTGGCTTGGGGAACCACATGGGGTGCTGGGGATTGAATCCTGATTGGACACATTTAAGGCAAGCACCCTGCCCTATAGTTTATCGGGGGCTGTACTATCTCTCTATCCTCTGATGCACTATATTCTTATAATCAGCAGTATAAAAAATTATGATATTATATTTGTTGTTATTTAGACATGAAAACAATACTGAAGAACTAACCATGACTCTTTATTTTGTCAAAATATGTTCACCCAGCCCCAGACTTTCCTATTTTGGAGAAGCAGAACTGGTTGATCCATCTTCACTATATCCGAAAAGATTATGAAGCATGCAAGGTGAGAGACTTATGATAACAGAAGAGATGAGAGACCTGCTTTAGCTAGGCAACTAACAGTGTCTGTGGCAGGTCCTGTCCTATTATGATGTGTAAGTCTTTGGTTCACACTTTTTGTGTCTTGCTTAGCTTTTTATCATGATGATAACTGCTTAAGAAATAGTCTCAAAATGTCAGTGGTCTCCAGTGACATTTATTCAGATTGTCTGTGGTCTGACTATGTGTAACTTCAGGCCTGGGGCTAGCTAGAGCCAGGGCCAGACATACTCGAAGTGTTCTCATTTCAGGATTAGACTGAAGCCACCTTTGGGAGCTTGTTGGTTTCATGACAAAAGGTATGTGTACAGCCCAGCAGGGTATTTAACTTTTTAATCTCTAGAGGGGGGGAAATAGTTCTTCCATGAGGTTTATTTTATGGTTCTGGGGTGCCAGGGATTGAATCCGGGTCGGCTGTGTACAAGGCAAGTGTCCTACCTGCTGAACTCTCTCTCCAGCCTGGTATCATCTTTTTTGGCATTTATATCTTTAGTGTTCTTGAGGTTTTGGTGTATTTAATTATATCTGTGTGTCATTTATACTCGTGTCAGCGAACAGAATTAGCAGTGCACTGTGCAACTCTTGAAAGATTTCTTTCAATATTTTTGTTCATTTGCCTTTTTGGATCTGCTATTTCCTTTCCCTCTCTCCTCAGCTTCTCACCTTTGTATTTCTTGAGAGTTGGGCTGTTCTTGATTCTTATTTCTGTACTATCTAGCCCTGCAGTGGGTGAGCCTGCCTATCTTCCTGTCTGCTGCCTACTTGCCTGCCTGCCTGCCTGCCTGCCTGTCTGCCACCCTCCCTCCCTGCCTCTCTGCCTCTCTATCCTCCTTACCTCCCTCTCCCTCCCTTCCCCTCTCCTCCCCTCCCCTCTTCTCTCCTCTCCTCTCCTCTTTTTTTTTTTAAATGTAGGAGTATTGCTATTTATTCAGCCATTGATTAGGCTGATTGAATTGGGCATGAACTCCACCTTTTTTTTCCCCTCTTTTTTTAATAAATTTATTTATTGAATCACCATAGGAGCAGTTACAAAGCTTTCGGGTTTAAGTCTCAGTCATACAGTGAAACACCCATACCTTCACCAGTGCCCATTTTCTACCACCAAAACCCCCAGTATACCCTCATCCCACACCCTCCCCCTACCTGTGGGGCAGATGATTTCCACATTACTCTCTCTCTACTTTGATTACATTCAATAGTTCGACACCAGACCCACCATTATTTTTGGGGATTTTACCCCAACATTCAGATCTACTGAAAAGGCAACAGTAGACAATTTGTTTTTTTTTCTTTTTTTTTTTCCCTTTTTTGAATCCTACCCGGAGATGCACAGGAGTTACTCCTGGTTCATGCGCTCAGGAATCTCTCCTGGCGGTGCTTGGGGGACCATATGGGATGCTGGGAATCGAACCTGGGTCTGCCGCATGCAAGGCAAATGCCCTACCTGCTGTGCTATTGCTCCAGCCCCGTCAATTTGTTTTCTATTGCTAGTTATGAATAACATATAATGTCGCACGGCCGCAATAGTGGCTGTGCAATTTTGGAATTCTGAAATTTTAACAATTAAATCTGGAGGGATTTCTGCCAAAACCTGCTAGGTTCCGAGATTTGTTCCTGAGTCTCTTGGATCATGACTGTTAAGCAGCTTGATCAGGAGCCAGAGAGGCCGTTCGTGTGTGGCCACTCGGGATCTCCTTGGGGTGGGGAGAAAAGGGCTGGCTCCAACCCATCCCGCGAGGCCCTGCCTGTTTCATCACTGCAGGCCCGATCCTGAAGGTCCAATGACCTCTGGAGGATGGTGGCCACCATGCTGCCAAGGGGGAGCAGGTGGAGGGACAGCATTCTTTCTCTCCTGGGGTGTCCCAGCGCTGGTAACCTGCTGTGGGAACCGGTTGCATTTCTGCCAAAAGCCGCTGGGTTCCAGGATTTGTTTCTGAGTCTGTGGGGTCATGGTCGTTAAGCTTGATCAGGATCCAGAGAGGCCGTTTGTGGGTGGCGGCTCGGGGTGTCATTGGGGTGGGGAGGAAAGGGCCGGCTCCACCCCCATCCTGTGAGGCCCCGTGTGTCTCGTCACTGTGGGCCCAAATCTTGTCCAATGGCCTCTGGAAGATGGCAGCCACTGAGCCGCCAGGGGAAACAGGCCAAGGCACAAAACCTGTTCCCACTTGGGGTGGCCCGGCGTTGGTAACCTACTGTGGGGACAGGATGTATTTCTGCCAAAAGGTGCTGGGTTCCGAGATTTGTTTCTGAGTCTCTGGGATCATGGCCGTTAAGCAGCTTGATCAAGAGCCAGAGAGGCCGTTCATGGGCAGTGACTCGGGGTCTCATTGGGTGGGCAGGAAAGGGCCGGTTCCACCCCCCACCACGTGGCCCCGCATGTCTCATCACTGTGGTCCCAAACCTGACTCTCCAGTGGCCTCTGGAAGATGGTGGCCACCAAGCTGCCAAAGGGGAGCAGGCAGAGGGACAACACCCTTTCTCCCCTGGGGTGGTCTGGCACCGGTAACGCATTGCGGGGACCAGACGCATCTCTGCCAAAAGCTGCTGGGTTCTGAGATTTGTTTCTGAGTCTGTGGGATCATGACCCTTAAGCAGTTCAATCAGGAACCAGAGAGGCCTTGCCTCCAATTATATAACTGAGCCGGAGGTGGTTTGTGGGTGTGTCTCCCACATACCTAACTTTTGGCTGTTCACTTTCTTGGTAAACTTTGCCCCAAGTTTTTGGGGTCTAGCCAAAGGCACAGCAGCAATTTTGGGGTATCTGAAAGTCTGAAGGCTCCATCAGGCTGCTGATGCACTCGCCTCACAGGTAAAGATTGACCTGCAGGCAGCACCATGCCCTCTCCTCTTTTTTTCTCTCTTTACCCCCCTCCCTCATTTTTGATGCCATACCTGGCAATGCTTAGGGTTTACTCCTGGCTCTGGCTCTGCACTCAGGGATCACTCCTGGGAGTGTACACGGGACCATATGAGTGTTATATATGAATTTATGTTATTTATAATAATCTACTATAATATCACATAATTTAAAAAACATCATCTGGGGCCAGAGGGCGACTACGGGAGGTAAAACACTTGCCTTGCACGCAGCTGACCTGGGTCTGAGCCTTGGCACCTGTATGGTTCCCCTGAGCCATCCAGGAGTGACTCCTAAGCGCAGAGCTGGGAGTTAGCCCTGAGCACTGCTGAATTGGTCTGAAAAAAAAAAAACAAAATAAAAAGAACAACCTCCCAAACCAAAACATCATTCACTATTGGACTAAGTAAAAGTCAAAAGTTTGTCAGAGGGGCTGAAGTGACAGTACGGTGGGTGAGGCATTTGCCTAGCATGTGGCCTGGGATCCATATGGTTCCCCCATGCAGAGCTAGGAATAACCCTTGACTTCTCTGGGTATGGTCCAAAAAGCCAAAACAAAACAAGTTTGTAAGATTGTAGCACTGTAGCACTGTTCTCTAGTTGTTCATCATTGTTCATCCATTTGCTTGAGCGGGCACCAGTGACTCCATTGTGAGACTTGTTACTGTTTTTGGCATATAGAATACAAGAGCCCTACCACGGGAGCTTGCCAGGCTCTGCCATGGGGGCGGGATACTCTCCGTAGCTTTCCGGGCTCTCCGAGAGGGATGAAGGATTCAAACCTGGGTCAGCCACATGTAAGGCAAACACCCTAACTGCTGTGCCCTAAATTTATAATTTTGTTTTATTAAAGCATTGTGATTTATAGAGTTATTCATAGTTAAGTTTTAGGCATGCAGTGTTTCAACAATGATCCCACCACTAGTGTCAACTTCCCTCCACCAACATTCTCTCCCATACCCTGCCTTCCCCCCAAGACCCTATATTTTTTTTCCTTTTTGGGTCACACCCAGTGACACTCAGAGGTTAATTCTGGCTCTGCACTTGGGAGTTCTTCCTGGAAGTGCTTGGGTGACCATATGGGATGCCAGGGATTGAAGCCGGCTGACCTGAATTCAAGGCAAATGCCCTACCTTCTGTAGGCCCCAGATCCTAAAATTTAAGATCAGCCACCTGTACTGCATAAGTCCCTAACAGACCTTGGAATTTGCAACAGTCTGTGCTGACAAGGGATGGGAAACGGTGTGCTCTGAGCTGTGTAAAGAAGCAGTTTACTCTTGTGTGGTATGTGGCTATAAGCCATGGCATCTTTAAAACATAAGTAAAATTTGTGGTTAATCTTGTAGAGTCAATTTAGTTCTTGGCTTTTGGACCACACTTGGTGATGCTTGTGGCTTTTTCATGGCTCTGCTCTCAGGGCTCAGTCCTGGTGGTCCCGGGGGGACCATGTGGGGTGCTGGGAATAGAACTTGAGCTGGATGTGTGCAAGGCAAGAACCTTACCTCCTGTTCAGTGTCTCTGGTTCAGTCTTGCAAGATTTTAATTGACACTTTGTAATGTAGCTTTAGAGTATGTGCAAGCTCCATTTTGTAATCATTAGTTGAATGGGTTTGGAGTTTTATGATCTATTGCGATCCCTGGGCCTAAGATGATGAAGTGAACGTCTGTCCTACTATCCTTCTTGAGTTAGCGATCGCATTTAGTATGAGGAACTTGAGCATAACATGGGGCACCAAGGATCAAAGCCAGGGCCTTACCCACTATACTGCTGCTCTGGACTCAGAAGTCGGTTTTTCATAGCTTTCTGATTTTCAGCTGTTGTTTAGGCAGTGATGTGGGTTTGACACCAGTTTGACACCTTTTCCTTATGAAATAAACTGAAGAAAGATGCCACAGGATTTAAGTCTTTGCTCGGTCTTTGCTCAGTTTCCAGCTTGCACAGGTGGGAGAAATCGGTTTGAAAAGCCGTTGTTAGCCTTCCCTTCTTTCAAGACTCTGCCTGGCTAACAAAACCAGGTGCTGTTGCAGTTGCTGCCCAACTCAAAAGGGACGTTGCACCAATTCTCCATAAATGACAAGGGATAATCAAAATAAAAGCAATAGTACAGTGGGTAGGGCGCTTGCCTTGCGTGTGGCCTTCCTGGGTTCAATCCCTGGCACCACATGTCACCCAGACCCTGCAGGACATGATCCCTGAGCACAGTGTAAGGAGTAAGCTTTGAGCATCGCATTAGGGGTAGTCCAGAAACCAAAAACAAGAAGTAGCAGTCATATCACTACCATAGTCACCAAGTTCTGAGCCTTCTTTTCCTGTCATGACATTGTTCATGTCTTAAGAGTCCTTACTTAGGGGCTGGAGCAATAGCACAGCAGGTAGGGCATTTGCCTTGCACGCGGCCAACCTGGGTTCAATTCCCAGCATCCCATATGGTCCCCTGAGCACCGCCAGGGGTAACTTCTGAGTACAGAGCCAGGAGTAACCCCTGTGCATCACCAGGTGTGACCCAAAAAGAAAAAATAAATAAATAAAGAGTCCTTACTTAGTCCGCATAATTTTACAGTAAATAGACTATGATTGCTTCTTGCTAAACTTACCAAGATTTTTTGATGACTTTTAGAATGGCTTTCACATGGCATTAGAAGCCTTCTTTAGCTGTCTTGTTCACCTCAGCTGCCACTGCCTTGCCTGTGTCTCTGACTTGAATTAAATGCTTGCCCACTGAGCTTCTTGAGCACATAGTGTTCCTGAGAGCCCCTCACTGTACTCGGGAATCTTCGTTCTTGTTTGATATTGCCTCTGTAGATTTGATATAGGGGTTTCCAAGCTCTTTCTTTAAGGTCATTTGGTAAACGCTTTAGGCTTTGCCGGTCACATACTTGCTGTCTCAGTTTCTTTATCTGCTCTTAAATAACATACGAAATACTAATAGCTTGAGATCTGTACAAATAGACTCTGTGGGTCAGATCTGGTCTGTTTGCCAACCAGTGTTGTAGAATACAGAACAAGAGGGTTAAAATTTTAAAAATTACAGATTATTTTATTAGAATCCTGGATTTATTACTTTGTTCCTTATTTATATTTATTTTTTTCTAAAGACAATTATTTATTTATAAAGACATATATTTATTGCTCAGAAATTCTTTTCTTTTTCTTTCAGGCTGTTATCAAAGAACAGCTTCAGGAAACTCAGGGGTTGTGTGAATATGCTATCTATGTACAAGGTAAAACATATTTTTCATCTTCTTGCTAAAGAAACACACTTTGCTTGATTATAGAAAAAAAGCAACCTTATAAAAAACTTGAAGTTCATGTTCCAGAGGTTGGTTTTCTTGTTTGATTTTTGGCCACATCCGCCTGTGCACAGGGCTGACTCCTGGCTCTGTGCTTAGGGATCACTCCTGGCAGGCACATAACCCAGTATGGGGTGCCAGGAATTAAATCTAGGTCTTCCACATGCCAGGCAAGCTCCCTACCACTGTGCTATCATTCTGGCCCTCCAGAGGCCTTATCCACCTCTTCCGTGTCCTGAAATTGGAACACAGCCCTTGTGCTTGATTCAGCTTCAGAAACTTCAGACACTATTAGATATTTTGCTACCAGGCTGGAGAGATAGTACAGTGGGTAGGGCTGTTGTTTTTCACGTGGCTGACCTGGGTTCGAGCTCTAGAGCCGCATATGGCTCTGAAACCTGCCAGTGATCCCTGAGTTCAGAGAGGAGTAAGCCCTGAGCATCATCGAGTGTTAACCAAAAGCAGTACAAAAAAATTTTTTTGTGGTTACCATCCTTCCTAGTTTCTGACCAGTATTCTTTTAGAATAGATATTATGGGCATCAATTTTAGGCCCAGAAGAGGCTTAAAGTGTTCCTGTAGTCAAGCTAAGAAAAATGTGGAAAGAGGACTTTTATAAGGAAAGTCAGGATAAAGGGAAGCTGTAATATACAGGATAAAAGGTAAAGGTAAAGGCCCTCCCTTGTTCGTCGATTTGCTCGAGTGGGCCCAGTAACGTCTCCATCGGGAGACTTTGTTGTTACTGTGTCTGGCATATCGAATACGTCACGGGGGGCTTGCCAGGCTCTGCCGTGCGGGCGAGATCCTCTCGGTAGCTGGCCGGGCTCTCCGAGAGGGGCGAAGGAATCGAACTCGGGTTGGCCATGTTGGCTGCGTGCAAGGCAAATGCCCTACCGCTGTGCTATCACTCCAGCTAATATACAGGATATAGATGAGAATTAATGAAATACATCAGAAACCAAATGTAGGAACCACTGAATGGAATTTTATCCTTTTGTGCCAAAAGAAATGGGTGTGTTGTGTGGGTTGGTGTTCATGCCATACTTGGCTGTGTTCAGGAGCTTATCAGGAGAGACCCTTGGCAGTGTTGTGTGCTGATTTAAAATTAAACCAACAGATTGCAAAGCAAGCATCACACTCTGTACTATCTCTTCAGCTCAACGTAACTTACATTTTTTCCAGAACTTTTAACTCAGTATAAACACATTCTTTTATTTACGACTTACTCCTTTTTTGGAGTAATATGTAATTTTCTGACATAAAAGAAAAAGCTTATTTCCAGTAGTGAAAGTTTTAGATTTTCAGCACTTCATAGTACTTTGATATTTACAAATCTTCTGAGAACTAGGTTTAGAAAATGTAGAGCAAGTTATTACTGGTTGCTATACTGAAAACAAAGTGTGAAGCATTATTATTACTTCATTTGCCAAAGTCTCTTTGTTGGATTTGGGTATTGATTTCACTTGCCCTGTTTGGATGTGCTCCGTGAAGTAGTATCAGGCGGTTATCGTGATAAAGAGAGTGTCTGATGGTAATTCCCAAGATTGTTCTCATTTTGAAGAGTTTGTCGGGGACTGGGGAGATAGTATGGCAATTAGGGCTCGTACTTTGGACACTGCTAACCCGGGTTTGAACCGCAGCATCCCATATGCCCATATAGTCCCTCCATATGCCAGAGTAATTCCTAAGGGCAGAGTCGGGAGTAACCCCTGAGCATTACTAGGTGTGGCCCCCAAAACAACAACAACAAAAGAATTTGTGGGACAGTTCACAAGCACCTGATTATCAGTGTTTTGGATGTTGGCCATGGAAGGAGTAGGTGGGTTTGGTTTGAAATTCCTAAGATTTTAGCCTGTTAACAACTTTGCTATTTTAGTTCCTCTGAAATAATATCTGATGTGGAAGCAAAGAACATGAGAACTGGGAGCCGGAGCGATAGTATAGCAGGGAGCCTTGCATGCGGCTGACCCAGGTTCGATCCCCAGCATCCCATATGGCCCCCCAAGCCCTGCCAGAGAATAGTTCTTGAGTGCAGAGCCATGAGTAACTTACCCCTGAGCATTGCCAGGTGTGACCCAAAAAGCCAAAAAAAAAAGAACCCCAACAGCATGCAAACCGGTATTCCGTGGGAATCAGGCCAACTGACTGGGGGAGAGCGGAGCGGGGGGGCAATGACTTTGGTGGAGGGAAGCATTCAGCCAGGAAGAGGGGGTGGTGCTGACAGGTAGTCAAGTGTCACGTGTGAGATTCTGTCAGCAGTAGTGCTGTAGTAGTGTAAACTGCAGTGCAGAAACTTACATATTAAAAAGTGGCCTTCATAGAAGCGGATGGATGGGAGGGAGGCCAGTGGGGGAGGAGGGGAAAGTGGTGACTGGAAGTGGGCACTGGTGAAGGGATCGGTGTTGAAACATTGTATGCCCAAAACCCAATTATGTATGACTTTGCAACTCATGTGACTAAATGAAAAAAAAAAACTGATTGCATTAAAAATTTACTTATCCAAAGAATTTCTTCAGTATTATTTCTTGCCTTAATTTTTCTGCTACCAGGCTCTGTTCTTTGCAGGAAAGAGGGAATGGTTTTATATATATATATATATATTTTTTTTTTTTTTTAATTTTTATTAGTGAAACACCATGAGGTACAGTTGTAGACTTACAAATTTTTGTGCTTGGGTTTCAGTTATATAATGATTGAGTACCCATCCCTCCACCGGTGCCCATTCTCCACCACCACTAATCCCAATATCCCTCCTATCCCCCCATCCCCCCACCCCACCCTGCCTCTGTTTTCTTGACAGCACTGATACTTCGCCTGGAAGGAAATATCCAAGAATCCCTCGAACTCTTTCAGACATGTGCTGTTCTTAGCCCTCTGTGTGCTGATAACCTCAAGCAAGTGGCCAGATCTTTGTGAGTATTGGCAGCCAGCAGGGCACTCAGAGAACAATGTCAGTGGTCAGGGAGAGGCTGCCTCTGCAGCCAGCAGGCGGCCACAGGGAGAGGTGCTTGAATGGTACACTAGCATCTACTTTAAAAGTAGAAATTAATTTTGTAATTAGAGAAAACAATACAACTTTATAACACTGTAGTCTATAGGAACTATTTCAAATACTGTATACTCTAGTTTAATTCGGGAATGCCAATATTCTTGTATAAGTAGTAACATCCTGTAGCACTGTCCTCCCATTTATCGATTTGCTGGATTGGCCACCAGTAACGTCTCCATTGTGAGACTTGTTGTTATTGTTTTTGTCATATTGAATACGCCACGGGGAGCTTGCCAGGCTCTGCCGTGCAGGTGGGATAGCTTGCCAGGCTCACCGAGAGGGACGGAGGAGTGGAACCTGGGTCGGCCACATGCAAGGCAAATGCCCTACCCTCTGTGCTATCGCTCCAGCCCAGTAACATCTTAGCCCCTAATATTGGCAACCCATGGAAGTTTTCCCATTCACTGTTCCAATCAATACTAGCAGATTTTTTACATGTGTGTGTATGTGTGTGTATGCGCGCGCGTGTGTGTGTTCATGCGTGTCACACTTGACTGTGATCAGGGCTTACTTCTGGCTCTGTGTTCAGGGATCATTCCTGGCTCTGGTAGGTGTGGGACCACAGGAAGTGCTAGGGATTGAACCCAGATGAACTTGATACATGGCAATTGCCTTATCCCTTGTGTTCTCTCTCTGGCTCAGTACTTTAAAAAAACGTTTATCAAGTCAATGTCCTAAAGATTCTTGGAGATAAACACCTTCAGAGTCTTTATAACCTGTTATGTACACCCCTTCCAGTGGTAAAGTATTCCATTGAAAGTATTTCACTTTCTTACCTAAACTGTCATTTATACGTGTACTGCCTTTGCCCAGAGCCAGTTTTTTCTGTCTCTTCAGAAGCATGATTTCATGTAATGGAGAGAGACTTAGGCTTGGAAGGAAAGGGCATGTCCTTAAATAGATTGATAAATGATGACAGCCCTTGCTTAGTATACTTTGATTTGGTTTGGTCTTTAAGCATTGTGAATCATAAATTAGGGAAGACTAAAATTTATGTAGAATCAGGACCAAGGTCCAGAACAGCTATCAATGATATCTCTACATTCTGATGTTGATTTATAGCAGATTTAGGTTTACCCCTGGCCAAACCAGCACAATCAGCTCACAGGAAAGAGTCTTCAAGAATTCTTTAAAAAGAATTAAATGTGGGACTAGTAACTTACTTTTATAAAAACTTCGAGTCAATAATTATGGAAAATGTATTTCTTCCACAGATTTCTTTTGGGAAAACATAAAGCTGCCACTGAAGTATATAATGAGGCTGCTAAACTTAACCAGAAAGACTGGGTCAGTAGGGATCTTTAAGTTCTTTGTTATTGGTAACATTGTATTGATTTTGTTGAAATTTTTTTGTTCAATTGACTTTTTTTTGTTACTGTTATTACTGAGTTCTTTCATGCTGAGATGTCTTACGTTTACCCTTGATTGATGCTGTGGGTAGGTCTGTGTTCAAGAATCTTGTTTCCTCATAACTGAGCAGATGTTGCTGCCTGTTTTCTGGCAAATTGTGTAGCGATACGCAGTCTGTTACCAGTCGCATGCTTTTTGAGAACCTCACTTTCCTTTTAGAAACTGTGAAATTTCCTTTTATCATGGGAGCCCCGAGAAGTTAGTAATAGTTGTGTAAGTGAGTTTCTTTGCTTTTTTTTCACCCTCCTCTGTGAACACTCTTTGAGGGACTTTGTCTGCCTGGATCAGAAATTTTTTTTCTGATAATTCTTTATTCCTCCCTCTGTCTCATTCAATACGTCAGGATGGTCTAACCAAAAATATTTTGACTGAACTTTGGGCATATCAAATTGGGTTTAACTTTTTTCATGAAATGAGAAGTCCAGATACAGTTGCTGACTGTGTTTCGGTTGTCCAGGTATGTCAAGAGTAAAGCCTTTTTCCTCTCATGGTTCCAAGATGCCTGCTCTCAGTCTTAAGTTACCGTAGTGGGAGCAGCAAAGAGAAAAAGACATAACCTGAATTGGGAAGCACAGCCTACCCAGACATTTCCATTAGACTTCTGCTTATATCATTAAGTACCCAGTTTGTAGGGGTTTTGTTGGTGTTGGTGTTTTGGGGGTCATACCGGGCTGTGCTCTGGTTCTGTGCTTTTCAGGGACAGTGATGGGAATGTGTGTACTCAAGGGAACACAGACTCAGGAAGAGCACCTGATTATTCTGCTTTTCTCTCTTTTAATCTGTAATTTTCTTTTTGGTATTGAGCTCATTTTATAGAATGAAATATATTTGAGTATGAAATTTAATAAAAAATTTACTGGGATCACACCTGTCTTCCTTTCTTTTATGTGCAGGAGATCTGTCATAACCTAGGAGTTTGCTACATTTACCTGAAACAGTTCAACAAGGTAATTTAGAGAAAGGTAGCCAGAATTGGGCAGGGAATTGTTCTGAGGATATGCTCGTTACCAAGATGTCATTGTTATTTTTGTGTTCTTTCCAGTTCTGGCAGAGAATTTTGGTAGTAGAAATTAGTGTTATATATACTTATTCCCCATTGATTGTCATTTTTCATTACTCTTTGCTTTTAGTATGAAAATGAAAAATTTTAGAAATTATAAATGGCAATCTTAAATTGCTTTTTTTTTCACCATCCCAATTTAATTTTCCAGTATAGAAACATACGTTTAATAAAACTTGGATGTCAAAAAATATTTTAATAGTTGATCAGTGGGCCAGCTGGGATCATCTGGGGTAGTGCTACTACCTGGGATGTCCTTTTTGATTTAGGAAATATTTCACGAGGTTTGAATGTCAAGAAGTAGAAAACACTCAGAAAGGAGGTCATTTGTCTTTCTGAGGTAATCCGCTCTCTCAGGCAGCCGCAGGGGCAGTCACTTTGTGTTGCTGTCTTGTTCCTGTCAGCAAGCACAGTTTGGGGTTTGGGGGCACTGAGGGTTATTTGCTAACATGGGATGCTCCTACCTTAGTACAGCACAAGCTCTCTTGACATTATTGCTGTACAAAGCCACTTGCCTCCCACTGTATGATTTGGTTTTCTTTATTCCACTAATCTTCTTAGGCGAAAGACCAGTTGCACAATGCCCTGCATCTTCACAAGCATGACCTGACTTACATAATGCTAGGGAAGATCCATTTGCTGGAGGGGGACTTGAACAAAGCCATCGAAATCTACAAGAAAGCTGTGGAGTAAGTGCTTCTTTAGAGAAATGAGAAACTGGAAAAAAAAAAAAGAAAATGGGGTAGATCAAGAATGTGTGGGTGATTATTACTCATTGTGTATCATCTACAAGAAAAGGTTAGCCCCCAATAGCTTATGTGAGGAAGATTTTGTAGTCTCTCCCAGCTGGTAATTTCTGCTCAACAGAGTTATCCTGAGATCCAGATTCCTTCTGTTTTAACCCACAGTTCTTTAGGCTGTTGTATTGATCTGCATGGTTAAAGCTGACTTAACTATAGTGCATCCATAGCCCAGGCTGTGGTGGGAGGCGGTGGGAGAGGAAGTTAAATACTCAATAAATAGCTTATAGTAAGTTGTAAATGGCCCAGAAGTTATATACCTTCTTATGCATCATTACTGTTTGGAGGCTACACCTAGCTGGCAGACAGACCCCAGTGCTCAGGTACACAGAGAATAGATTTTGGACTTCTGGCTGTCTGCCATTTTGTAGGTTGATAACCAATAAAATGGCAGTACTTGCGTGGTTGTGGTGCTCAGACACACTTGGCTGTGTATTCGAACTCGCAGAGCATTCTGGTATTGGGGGCTGAGACAGCAGAACTGCAGGGAGCATGCTGATGGCACCTGGTATCGACAACGCGGGCCTGAAGTCATTCTCGGGAGTTTCAGGGATAGCAGGGGGCAGGTTGCAGGAGGGCACCTCACTCTACACAAGTCTCATCCACATCAGCTTCCCTCTGCGTCTTTGTTGGTTGTAGGTTTTCACCAGAAAATACAGAACTTCTGACAACTTTAGGATTACTCTACTTAGAGGTAAGGAGAACTCTTTACTCATTCATGCGTTGATGTTAGAAATGCTTTTGAATTTGTAAATTTCCTGGTTTCCTTGCAGCTGATTGTACTTTATCTTTTTACTGAAAGTCATATTAAACACTTTGGTTTTGTTTTGTTTTGGGGTCATACCCCGCAATGCACAGGGCTTATCCTGACAGTGCTTGGGGGACCATATGGGATGCTGATTTTTAAACCTAGGTCGGTTGTGTTCAAGGCAAGCACCCTATCTGCTTTTACTGTCACTCTGGCACCTGTGGCAATTTTCTTACTCTCTCTACTTGATATTCTTTGCTAAAGAAATGAACTTTTATGTATTCATCTCAGAAGCATTTAGTTATACTTCTTATCTGACTAAGGGAAGAGAATACACGAAAGGCAGTTGATGAATGGGTGGGTGAACACTTTATTTTGGGGAGAAACTGTGTGGTACAAGCTAGCTCTAATTGTGAATGGGGTTTCTTTAGCATCATCACTTTTCTGTATTAGCTTGAATACCAGCCCAGGTTGCTCGAGCGGGCCCAGTAACGTCTCCATTGGAGACTTTGTTGTTACTGTGTCTGGCATATCGAATACGTCACGGGGGGCTTGCCAGGCTCTGCCGTGCGGGCGAGATACTCTGGGTAGCTGGCCGGGCTCTCCGAGAGGGGCGGAGGAACCGAACTCGGGTCGGCCATGTTGGCTGCGTGCAAGGCAAACGCCCTACCGCTGTGCTATCGCTCCAGCCCAAACTACCAAGGTAAAGGTAAAGGTAAAGGCCCTCCCGTTGATCGTCGATTTGCTCGAGCGGGCCCAGTAACGTCTCCATTGGAGACTTTGTTGTTACTGTGTCTGGCATATCGAATACTCTCGGTAGCTGGCCGGGCTCTCCGAGAGGGGCGGAGGAACCGAACTCGGGTCGGCCATGTTGGCTGCGTGCAAGGCAAACGCCCTACCGCTGTGCTATCGCTCCAGCCCATCCAAAGTAATAATAATAATAATAATAGGGCTGGAGCGATAGCACAGCGGTAGGGCGTTTGCCTTGCACGCAGCCAACATGGCCAACCCGAGTTCGGTTCCTCCGCTCCTCTCGGAGAGCCCGGCCAGCTACCCAGAGTATCTCGCCCGCACGGCAGAGCCTGGCAAGCTCCCCGTGACGTATTCGATATGCCAGACACAGTAACAACAAAGTCTCCAATGGAGACGTTACTGGGCCCGCTCTAGCAAATCGATGAACAACGGGAGGGCCTTTACCTTTTTTTACCAGCCCAGGTATCCCTGGGGAGTCTTTCCCCCTCCCTCAGTTGATCCTGTCTTTAACTCTGCCTGTGAGGCCTTTCTGGCCTCTTTTTCTCTTTAGAAGGAATTGGAGCTTAACCCTTCCTGGACTTTCGCCTGAGAGGCTGCCCCAATGGATGTGAGGCTAACTGGGTGTTTTGTATCCAGAGCAGCACTAGAGTAGCAGAGATAGTTACTAGCTAGTGAATGGATAATTTGTTCTTACTCGGGAACAGTTTTGCCAGTCTTATATGGAGTGACAAACACCAATGTAAAGATTTTTAGTTATTCTCCTACTTATCAGATGTCTGTTGCTTTATTTTTGACAAGAAAACTATGTTTCTGTTCAGGGGGAGGGTGACTGGACTCCTTAACTTCTGTCCCATGTCAGTTCTTTGGTTTGCTTTTTCTCCAAGCTTGGCATTTACCAGAAGGCATTTGAACATCTTGGAAATGCACTGACTTACGACCCTACGAACTATAAGGTACCGCAGCCCGTCAAAGACTGTGTAGCCCCAGGAAGCATTTTGAATACCTGAGAAATTTCCTTTTTCTTAGGTAAATTATCACTAACCATAGCTCTTTTTGTCACTAACCATACTATTTATTGAAAATACTGTGAAGTACTGATGTTCTGCTTAATTTGTAAAAAGGACACATTTGTTGTAATAAGCCTATCATTGCCTAGAAAGTGAAGTTGTGGTACTTGTAAATGTTACTTAGGAAATTAGCAATCCTTAGAACTACTGCCAAAAGTAATTCTGTTGCAGTGATTCTAGATTCCTAATGAAGTTGAGACAGCAGTTTTTGTCCAGATGAAATTATGGATGAGAATCCTCAAATGAATAAGGGAGATGCAGCAAAACAGGCTTTTGCTTGAAGAGCACAAACTCATTCCGGTCTGGGAAATCATCTGAGTGTGATTCAGCTTCCTGCCTGCCTTTCCTCCCTTAGAGAAATGAAAAGGCTGCATTATTGGGCCAAGAAGCTGACTCACCTTTGGCACAAGATCTGCACCATTAGTGGGTAAATCAGATGTTGTAGTTCTACTTGTCGGAGGCAGAAATTTTTAGCCTTTTTTACTCTCATGGCCTAGTGGTGGAAAACCTCTGCACCCAGCAGGGGTGGTTTTACCTAAAGGTTCCTGATACCCTGTGCTGTCAAGAGAGCCACATTTGGTTTTCATGACATGCCCCTTGAAAATATCCCAAGAGCTGGCATATGTTCATGAAAGGCCTTTTCAGCCCTGTTTGTGCTGCCCCCAGGAAGGAAACTTCATTGCTGCGACCTTTTTGGAGGGACAGAATCATCAACATTCCCTCTCTGCATTTTAGGCCATCCTAGCGGCAGGTAGCATGATGCAGACCCACGCAGACTTTGACGTTGCCCTCACCAAGTACAGAGTAGTAGCATGTGCTGTTCCTGAAAGTCCTCCACTCTGGAATAACATTGGAATGTGTTTCTTCGGCAAGAAGAAATATGTGGCAGTGAGTGCCTCCTCATTTTCCTTGTGGATCTGTGAACTTGCCCCAGCATCTGAGTGAGTGCCCTTTTCCCCTGCAGGCTATCAGCTGTCTGAAACGAGCCAACTACTTGGCACCCTTTGACTGGAAGATTCTGTTTAATTTGGGCCTGGTCCATTTGACCATGCAGCAGTACGCATCGGCTTTTCATTTTCTCAGCGCAGCTATCAACTTCCAGCCAAAGATGGGGGAGCTTTACATGCTGTTGGCTGGTAAGAGACAGCTAGGCCACAGTTAGTTACTACTGCCATCTCTTAGGGTTGGTAAGAAGGTTTTGTAAATAAAGAGCCAATAAATAGTATTGTTAATAATGCTATTATTATATATAATGATTACACATAACTATAATTATTTTACTATAAACATTAAAAAATATATATATTTTGGGGCCACACTGGGCAATGCTCAGTGGTTACTCTTGGCTCTGCACTCGGGACCACATGGGGTGCTGGGGATCGAACTTGAATTGGCTATGTAAAAGGCAAGTGCCCTATCTGCTATACTATTTTTACTATAAATAAACTTTTGAAATGTTCTTTCTGGGCCTGCTATTTCTACATATACTAAATATAGTGTCGGGGCTGGAGCAGTAGTACAGCAGGTAGGGCGTCTGCCTTGCATGCAGCCGATCCAGGTTCAATCCCCGGCATCCCATATGCTCCCCTGAGCACCAGTAGGAGAAATTCCTGAATGCAGAGCTAGGAGTAACCACTGAGCATTGCTGGGTGCAACCCAAAAAGAAAACAAACTAAACATACTCAAAAGCTCCAAAGCAGTTTCTGTGTTCTCACAGTAGTCTTTTAATTTTTTAAAAATTAAGTCACTATAGATCACAAAGTTGGGCTGGAGAACAGCGGATAGAGCATTTGCCTTGCACATGACTGACCCAGATTTGATTCCTCTGTCCCTCTCGGAGAGCCCGGCAAACTTCCGAGAGTATCCCGCCTGCACAACAGAGCCTGGCAAGCTCCCCATTCAAAATGCCAAAAACAGTAACCACAAGTCTCACAATGGAGACATTCCTGGTGCCCGCTCGAGCAAATCCACAAACAATGGGAGGACAGTGCTACAGATCACAAAGTTATTCATGATTAGGTTTCAGGCATACAGTGTTTCAACACCAGCCCCTTCACCAATGATCACTTCCTGCCACCAATGTCTTACAGTTGTCTTCAGCTGAATTTTTATGGGTCTTTACTGTGGAGATGCTATTTCAAAAGAAAGGTTGTAAGACATAAAAACAAATGGGGACACAGGAATGTAACCAAAGAGCCATACCATAAGGCATAAGCAGTCATTCTAACTTCACAAAACGATGGCTTTCACATGAAAAGACAAGCTAGAATTCAGTATCATGGAGTAGCCAGGGGCCACTGAACAGAGGCATGAGGCTATAAAACTGTGGTGTTCCCTGCAGGTAGCAGGCAACAGTGTTACATACAGAATATAGTGGAGATGAGGCAGGAAAGGTAGGGTGGGATCTGGTGGAAACTGCTTCAGAAGCACAATCCAAGGACTCTACACTTGATTTAGAGGCCATGTTTTTCACATTCCATTCCTAGATCTGTCTCAAGTGTTGACAGAACTGAGTGGGCAGTGTTTCCAGAGCAGCTCTGTTTGTTGTAGATCTGACTTCAGAAGATACTTATTTTAAGGGGGGGAGTGTCCTATTGCCAAACAAATTTAAAGAGCATGGTTATGGGTGATGGAGAAGCAGGGAGGACTTTTAAGTAGAACAGTCAGATGATGAGCTGTGGGAAAAGTGGAAAGCCTGAAAGGACTGACTAATGATGCCAGGAGCTGAGAGGGCAAAGGTGGAGTTAACGTTAAGTAGTGGGATATTGATCCACTCTATTCATTCTAGCTGCAGTGTTCTCTTTCTTTGTTGCAGTGGCTCTGACCAATTTGGAAGATACAGAGAATGCTAAGAAAGCTTACTCAGAAGCAGTGCGTCTGGACAAGTAAGCGGGTGTTGGGAGTGGACTCTGCAGAGCCACACGGGGGCGCCCGTGCTGCCTGCGTTGGCCGCCCGGCTCTCTGCTAGGCTTGTTCGTAGCCTCAGCAGGAATTTTCTTTCTGAGAAAATATTTCTGGCCTGATGTCAGTAAAACAGACTGTGCTGCTGAAATATGAGCTGGAACTACAAAGATAAACTTGGCTTTTAGGCCTTATTCCCCTGGCCTGGTCTCTGCCAGCAGCAGGTTGGGGAGCGCCTTTCCTGTTGCTCCCTGGTGGTCTTTGTCGAGGACGGAAATCTTAATCTTGGGCCCAGTACCTTTTTGTTGGGCAGTTTCTTGATTCTTGTCACAGGTCCCCACAAGCATGTATGTTTCCGCTGGTTAGAGAGGCTGGCCCTGTAGAATCTGTTTGTTTGCCACAGGTGTAACCCTTTAGTAAACCTGAACTACGCGGTGCTCCTGTACAACTGCGGGGAGAAGAGAGGTGCCCTGGCCCAGTACCAGGAGATGGAGAAGAAAGTCAACCTGCTCAAGGACAGCGTGTCTCTAGACTTTGACCCTGAGGTATGTCTCTTATTAGCTCCCTGGAGTCGTAAGCAAGCTGTCAGAGACTTGATTGACTGATTGAGTCCACGTAATCCAAATAGAGGGTGGTAGATGCTAACTAATGTTTACTTTGGTGTTCTTGGTAGCACAAATTAGTAAAATACGAAGACTTCCTAGAAAATAGTACCAGAGTTAAAGGGGCCTGTTCTGCATGTGGCTGACCCTAGTTTGAGCACTGCCAGGTCACAGGTAGAAATAAGTTGAAGTTAAGGGTTATCTGTTACCAGTAACAGAACTGGAATCAGGATCTATCTTGAAGACTTCCTCTTACTACTTATGTCGGAAAGGCAGTAGCTTAACCCAGTAACAAACCAAATGTGAATTTCACATCTGGTGTGAACTTCTGTCTTCCATTGTTCTGTGTTCTTTCTTTGAGGTTGTTTTCATTGCTTAATTCCCTTGAATGCTAGAACTGATAGATGTTATTTCAGCTATCCTTATGGTGGAAGGGCTTGTCTCGGCCAGTCACGCTGACTCTTTCTTCTTGTGTGGGATAAGATGGTGGACATGGCCCAGAAGTTGGGAGCTGCTCTCCAGGTTGGGGAGGCACTAGTCTGGACTAAACCAGCTAAAGACCCCAAATCAAAGCAACGGACCACTTCAACCAGCAAACCTGCCAGTTCCCAGCAGCCTCTGGGCTCTAATCAAGCTCTCGGACGGGCTATGTCTTCAGCAGCTGCATACAGGAAGCTCCCTTCAGGTAGGAGGTCATATCAAGGCCCACGGTGGCTTGTTTCCTAAGGACATTTTGTGGCCCTTGAATGATAAGGGCTCCTAGTAGGCTTAGTTGGACAGTCAACACAGTCTTTATGAGTCAGAAAAAAATTAGTAGTTTTGCTTAAACTTCCAGTGTCTAGTCCGAATAGGATAGTAGCCACATACTTAGTGAACCATTGAAAGCACGCTTGTTTTTCTTCAGTTACGGTGTCCTTTTATAGCTACAAAGGTGAATCATGGTCTGGGAATACAAATTTCTTTCTGGCGTAGTGAAGCTACTTGCTTGTTTCTAGGTACTGGAGGCAGCACACTCCAGCTCCCAAAAGAACCATCTCTTCCGCTCGAGCCAGCCGTGGAAGCTCATCCAACGGAAGCAGCAGCACAAATCAGAGAAAAATAGGAACGAGCTGACCCCCCAGAAGTAGGGGGTTCTTTGGCGAGGATGTAGCAGAATTAGATGCAGGCAGAGTGGAGCCTGGTGCATGAAGGTGATCAGGAGGGGCCCCGGGAACCAGAAGGAAAGCAGCCAGATCAGTCCTTTAAGAACTGAGAGCCAGCAGGGCACACGACACTGTGTGCTTCTGAAAGGGAGGTGTGACACAGACCTCTGCCCCATCATGACCATGAGGCCTTGGGTTAGCTGAGGCGACCCTCAGGTATTTCAGCTCCAGGGCTACTTGGATTAATCATCCAGTTACATAGTTTTTGAAAAATGGAAAATACCTCTGAATTGAGGCCCAGCCTGCTGAGTGAATTTCCAGCGTCACTTGCAGAAGGGAATCCAGAACAAGTCCAGTTCTTGAGAGAGGTCACAATGTATAGCGCCAGATCGTGTCAGTGTAAGAATGAAGGAGTTTTATGTAAAATAATCAATGATATCACAGGCCAGATACTATCGATATTCTATGTAATGTGTATGTCCTTTTTAGAATAAAGATTATGTGCTGTCATTCCTTTGAGAAAGTTATTCAGGCATAAAAATGAGAGATTACAATAAAAAGTTTAAAAAGAACCTGTGGTCTTAGTTTTTCCTATTTCCAAGTCTAGCTTGAAACTGAAGGAGTCTGCAGCTCAGAAGTCAGCAAGTCAGCATGTGGCAGAACTTGGCCAGTACCTCCTGCACCCGAACAAGCCCATGCCCGCGTCCACCTCAGTGTGGAGGGAGTATAGCTGCCCTATTTTTTTGGTACTTTTTGGGTCACACCCAGTGATCCTCAGGGGTTACTCCTGGCTCTGCACTTGGGAATTACTCTTGGCAGTGCTTGGGGGACCTTATGGGATTTCAGGGATTGAACCCAGATTGGCCATGTGCAAGGCAAATGCCCTACATGCTATATTACCACTCCAGTCCCTAGACCAGAGCTTCTTAAATTCTTTCCACATGTTACCCCAAGATATAAAATGGGTGAGTGCTGCCAGAAACAGTTTGGGTTCATTATACATATTTGGGTTTTTCTTTACATGTTCAGAAACTTGTGAGCATATTTGGGGTTTTCTTTACATGTTCAGAAATTTTTTCATTGTTGTGCTTGTTAGATGGAGAGATAATGAGGGTATAAACTACGGAAAGAGGAAAAAGAATGTGTGAGAGATTGAAGAGACAAAATCAACAGAAAATAGGGACTAATTAGAAAGGCTGGGGCCACACAGAGCAGGGGAACTCGGGCTGCAGAGTCTAGTTTACATACTATTTATCTGCAACACCCAAACGCAGACCAGTAGGCGTGTGGAATCTGACTTAAAGGAGCAGCAGTAATTACCCAGGAAAAGGGGCTGCAGAATAAAATCTCCAGGTGGTAGTCTCTTGCACTTAAACCTGGTCTAGATGGAAAGTTCATGTTCTCCACTATTAAGTAGTCATGTAAAGTGACTGCAGCAGAGACCCAAGGGCCTGACGTCAAATAGACTGAACTGCAGCAGCTATTGGGAAAACAATCAGATTCACAAATATAGCTTCTTCGAACAGTTAATACAATCAGACAAAATGTGTGAAGGATCACTTTGACCTGCCAGTATCGAAAAGTACCATTAATGGCAAATACATATTTTTTAATACATTCAAGCAAGACATACCTAGGCTATAAAATAGATCTTAAAGTTGGATTAATATTAAGATATTTTATAGGTATGTTCTCTGACCCCCAATTATATTAGAAACAACAGCATTTAGATACTGAGAAAACCTCCAAATAATAGAAATCAAAGACATTTGCATTGCTTTGGAGGAATTAATGGGCAGGGGCTGTAGCTCAGTGATAGATCTAGCACTTGCCTTCTCCTGGGTAAGGTCCTGGGTTCAATCCCCAGTACTGGAAAAAAAAAAAGTAAGGCAAAAGAAAGTAGAAAGTAATCTGAATGAAAACAAATTGAAACTCGTGTGATTTAGCTTACGGAGAAATTCCACAGTAATGCTGCTTTCAGAACAATAAGGGGTGTGGGTTTAGAATTCCTGCCCGGTAACAAATTCGAATCCCTGTGCTGGGTGTGAACCTGGCAGCTCTGCTGTCTGCAGCCCCAGCACTGTGACGTGCACACCAGAGCCGAGTATATGAGCACTACTGTGCACCTCAGTAACCCTTGTTATGCACCACAGCCTGCTTGGTAAGTCAAAAATGCGCGAGCATCATAGTCAGGTTTGTGTGCAACACTTGGGTCATCACAACATGAACAACGAAGGAAGGAGAGAGGAATTAAACCAATAGAAGGTAGACGAGCATGGATGATGTGGATTCTACCTTCATACATTGATGCTGGTGTGTACGACAGGCGGCTTACGTTGGACTATAGCTTAACTAACAAATTGCAAACCAGCTAAAAAAGCACAAAATCAAAACAGGAAAAAACTGACAATCTAACTTTTGAAAGAACTGACAAACTAACAAATAATCTACTATTCAGAAGCTGCCCTTAAATTGGACATTACAAAACTTGTAGGGGCACAGAAACCACAGGTAAGGCAAGTTGTGTGTGGTCAACTCCAGTTGAATTTTCATCATTGTATAGCCAGGTGTGACCCACAATCAGTACGAAATCTTTAGGAAATTTTTTGAGCAAGAACACCCCAGATTGTATGACCATTACTCTGCATGGATGGATATAGGTGTGAAAGTCCATAATACATGATAAAATCAAGTCCGGCAACATAAAAATATTGCTGTGATTACTGTCACCAAGGATGTGATTACTGTCATTAGGATGTTCTAGGGTTCCACGTGTGAACAAAATTTAAGTCGTGATTTCAGAAGATGCAGAAAAAAGCATACAAAGCCATCGTAACCCAACACCAAATTTGGGACAGTAGGGAACTGTTGGTTTGTTTTGGGGGGCCAAACCCTGCAGTGCTATGGGATTACTCCTGGATCTTTGCTCAAGAATCACTCCTGGTGGTGCTTGGTGGACCATACGGGATGCCGGATATTGAACCCTGGTCAGCCATATGCAAGGGTAGTTGGCCATATGCAAGGCCCCACCCTGCTGTACTATTGCTCTGGCTCTGAGAACATAACCCGATAAAGGGCATCTATAAGAAATAGCAGTATCACATTTAGTGGTGAAACACTGAATATTTTGTGCCTGAGGTAAGGGCCAAGGCAAGGAAATTCACTCTTACCACTTTTATCTTTATCCTCGAGATTCTAGTCTGTGTCATGAAGAATAAGAAAAAGCAGGGATGCAGCTCATTGGTAGAAGTGTATGAGAGTCCCTGAAAAAAAAAAAGGCACCAAAATTTGAAAAGTAAAAATGAAAATCTTAACAGAGGACATGATTGTTTTTGTAGAAGATCCTAGGTGATGCTAAGAGTTAGATACAACTGATAAATATTTTTGGCAAGGTATAGGAAATAAGACCTTTGTGCAAAATTCAGTTCTTTTATGCCAGAAAGGAAGAATTTGAACATGAAATTTTAAAAACAATTTTAGGGGCTGGGGCAATAGTACAGTGGGTAGGACACTTGCTTTCCTTGCAAGCAGCCCACCCAGATTCGATCCCCAGCATCCCATATGGTCACTGAAGCACTGCCAGTAGTAACACCTGAGCATCACTGGGTATAGCCAAAAAACCCCGTTGTTGGGACTGGAGAAATAGTACAGCGGGTAGGGCAGTTGCCTTGCATGCAACCCATCCGGGTTCAATTCCTATCACCATATATCGTTCCCCAAACCCTCCCCATGGGGAGATCCCAGAGTGCAGAGCCAGGAGAAAGCCCTTTTCACCACTGGCTGTGGCCCCAAAACCAAAAAAAAGTTTCAAAAATTTTTTTTGAAAATATTTATTAATTGAGCTTTTCTTGGAGGGGAAGAGGAGGGCGGGGGCACACCCAGCAGTGCTCAGGGCTTACTCCTAGTAATGCTGCCAGGACTTGAACTGGGGTTGGCCGCATGCATGAAAAACACCCTGTAATAGCTCTTCAGCCCCAATATATTCATGAATAAAGTTTTGTGAAGATGACATTCCCAAACTAATCTATCATGATCCCAGCAGGTTTGCAGGCTAGATAATCTGGTTCTAAAATGTTACAGAAATACAAAGGACCTAGGTAATTGTTACCTTTGAACATAATTGGATGATTCAAACTTCTAAGACCATCCCTAACCATAAATTATGTAACACCAACACAGGGCTAGAGAGATTGCTCAAAGGTCTGGAGAATAAGCTTGGTATGTGGCATCAAACCCAGGGCTCTGGGTGCATGGTTCCCCAAACACCATGCCAGAGATAGTCTTGACTATGGACCAATCATGATGGCTGCTTGTTACCTGTATTGCAAACCATAACACCAAAAAGGACAGAGTAAGGGGTTTTGCCTGCCACAGAAGCAGGAGGTGGGAACGTGCGGCAAAGGATGCTGGGAACATTGGTGGTGGAGAATGGGCACTGGTGGAGGGATGGGGTCTTGAACACTGTTCAACTGAAATGCAATCATTAAAGTCTAAGTCTATAAATGTATCTCACGGTGATTCATTAAAATAAAAAAAATAGTCTGGAGCACTGCTGGGTGTGGACCCCCTTCCTCCTCCATCCCCCCACGCAGAAAAAGAAAAGCAGATCAATAAAGTGATAGAGCTACAGTTACACAATCATTTGGGGTAGAACACTCCCAGCAATCCTTTGGGGGGCCATGTTGGAGCTCAGTGCAAGAGCACCCGCCTTATGTGTCGAATGCCCGAGGTTTGCTCCTGGCACAACACAAACCACACACAAACGTATATCCACCGTTCCTCACGAGGGAGATGCAGAATAAAAACAAGCATTACTGCCTCCATCAGAATGACCAAAATTCATGAGGCCAGAGATAGAATAGTGGGTAGGGTGCTTGCCTCGTTTGCTGCCAATCTGTGCTTGATCCTTGGCATCACGTATGGTCCCCCAAGGACTCCCAGGAGTGATCCCTAAGTAGCGTCCTGAGCACCGCCAGGCACGGCCCCCCAAGACAAAACAATAGGCCAAAATTCAGCTCTGACATTTGCAAACATTGCCGATAATGAGACGCAACCACAAAATGTAACAGATTAGTGGCGGGAATGTACATGGCTGAGGATCTTTGGGTAACAGCCTGTCAACCATGACATGAAGTATTCCTGGTAATTCTACTTTGATGGATTTCTACCAAGACAAAAGAAAACGTGTACAAAGACTTGCCGACACAGCATTACTCATAAAAAGCCCCCAAGTGAAAACTGTTATCCACAGTCATACTTAGCTGTAAAGGGGGGAGAAGTACATGCAACATGGATCAGTCTCAAACTTCAGATGTCGAATGAGATGAGTTTCCACAAAAGACAAAATTCTTTACTTCATTTCTATGATGTCCCAGAACAGGCAAAACAAGTTGATTATGGAAGAAGTTTCTAAGGAGGCCGGGGTACGAGATGGGGGATGACAGGGAACTGCCATGCCGTCCTAACTGATGAGAGCACTCTGACAGACATCCGGACCAGACATCGGCATCTGCCAAAACTTACCACTCATGTACATTTTTGTGTAGTTTCACTATAAGGAAATTTTCACCTGAAAAAGTCCAAAAAATTATGTTAAATTATCATCATGGTAGCTTTTCAATATTTCACCATCACTCTCGAAGCCCAGAAAATTGCCTGTTCAGTTTAGCTGACAGTTACCAAACTTTTATGTTCCATTTGGGAAGTCAGTATTTGGTTGGCTGGAACTACTACTTTACCGGTAAGGAAAAGGCTCATTAAGGGTATGTGCAAACAAGTGCCTACTGACCATCTCAAAACCTGCCTCGAATTTAGATTTCTTCTGTTGGTGATTAATTATCCCCACCTTCTTCTCCAACCTGAGAGGTCTACAAATACCATTCTGGGGGCTGCAGATTTCCCCCTAGGTGTGAGAAGCAATTTCAGGTTAGAACTCTTTTTCCAGGGCTATGTTCATCATGCATCCTTCCTGATCTAGCAGATTTTCCAAGCTTCCTTTAGGTAAAACGTGTAGAAACCTTTGTAAAATACAATGCTAAGGGCTGAAGGGCCTAAGGTCTTTCCTGTCTGTCTCAGGAGCTGCAGCCTGGTCAGAGCCCTCTGGATCTCCACAGGTGGCTCACTTACAAGAAGCCTGAAATCTACGTGCTCAGGGACAAGGTGTTTTTACAAAATGACACACATGTAGTGCATGATGCATTTCAATCTTTTTGATGACCACTGATGAGTGACTTATTTCATTTTGGGCCACAGCTGGCAGAACTCAGGGCTGACTCCTGGCTCTGTGTCAGGAGACCGTGTGTGGTGCCATGGATTGAACTGAACTAGGGTTGGGCCACTTTGCAAACAAGTGCCCCTGTACTAATTCTTAGGCCCCTGGTGACTTAATAAATACCTTATGCTTCATTCAAAATAATAATAATCACTAAAAATAGTGATTATTAGTAATTTCAAACTTATCCTTTGTAAAGTCACTGTCGTAGGACAGGAGTTGGCGATCCTCGAACTAGTATATACTAACGTCATCAGAGAGAACAGAGTTTAGTGCCTGAGAGAGCACGGGGGGAAGGCACTTGCCTTAGTCAGTCAACCTGGGTTCAAACCCTGGCATCACTTATAGTTCCCTGTGCACTGCTGGGTGTGTGTGCCCCCCTGCAAACAACAAAACACTGAATATCACTCAGGGTAGGAGAGGCACAGCCTACAGACTGTGTCATTCCAGCATCGGGGGAGGTGTGCAGTCACCCACTTTGGCAGACACTGGCCTGGCCAGTATTTCCTCTGAGGGTGTGACAAGTGTCTGTCCCCACTCCAGGCAAGGAGGGGGGAGGCCGCAGATAAAGAGTAAGGGGTGGCCTTGAGGTTCCAGGGCCCGCTGCTGAGAGCCTGTGTGAAAGGGGTCCCCTGACCTCAGCTGCCTCGCGCGCAGCTGCTGTTCCTCCAGGACTCTCGGAACAAGCTGAGAAGGCTAAGCTGGGCTCTTTCAAACTGTTGGTTGTGCAGGCATGGCTGATCTGTTCCCTTCTGTCATGACAGGGGACTTGCTCTCAGTGTGAGGAATAGCCTGAGCCATGCAGGGAAGATGATCAAAGCCTTGGGGCAATTCACGAGTTTATCTGGCTGTAGCTTGGTGAGATACAAAGTCAGTCACAAATAGACTTACGATTCTCAATTCTCAAAATGGAGGTTTTTAATCTTTTAAAAGCACACTGACAAGTCATCTTAATTTATAAAAAATAAATACAGAACATGGTGAATTTATTCATGATCCTGGGGCTCTTTTGAGGTCAAATTGTTAATAGATGTGATGTGTCAATGTAAACACACATGATCCGTTGTACACACAGGAGCATATTCCAGTTGCAAAATCATCGGAACAAACAAAGCTCAATCTTCTATCACAGGAAGCAGGATCTAGCTGCCAGCTTACCCTCGCAGAAGGTGGGGCTGGACCGCACAATGGCCTTCAGCCAACAGTGCCCCCTGCAGGCCGGCCAGGACAACTGCACCCTGAAGGCCCCCCCACTGCAGTGGCTGTGAGGCACATGGACGATTTCCTCCTTGCTTGTGGCTCAGTGTGACATGTGACAGGAGGCTGAGAAGGCGTGCTCCTGAGGTGCTGTCACGCTGACGCTGAACAGGCTCTCTAAGCAACCAAAGTGTCGGGGACGGCCCTCTTCCAGGTCGGCCAAGGGAAGTGCTGTTTCCAGTCGACATGCTCTTGATTGTAAAAAATTGTGACTTAAAATACTGACACTGCCTAAACTGGGGGGCGAGTTACTCCCCCTGTAACATACAACATGAAAAAAAACAAAACCCCCCAAAAAAACATAAAACAAAAAAAAACAATGAGAATCCAGTGACCTACATTTAGATCAAAACTGGAAATACTGGTATGCGACATCCATAGGCTGGAATGGATCTGGCACCGTTTCACCTGCTATTTTTTAGTTCTTTGGCTATCTTTCAAGTAGATCTACAAACTGCCCCACCGTCCTTCATCCTATTTTCCAAATTGTTTCATTCCTGGAACTCTAAGCCGGCCAGTTCTCCTTCCTGAGAAAGCTGCCCCCCTTCACCTTCCTATGCGGGTGGGCGAAGTTCGGAATAGTAGAGTCCCTCAGCCGAGATGGCATCCCCCAGGCCCACCGTCCGGACGGGATCCGCACACACCAGCACGGGCGTGAAGTGGAAGCTTATGCCCTCCCGGTGCCACTCCACGACCGGCTCGTCGGGGTCGAGGGTGACCTTGGAGCCCGGCCCTGAATGGAAAGTCAAGAACTCGTGGGGCGCCCGCAGAGACACTCTGCCCGTGTCCAGGGTCTCCGTGGCACAGGCCTGTGTCCCCGCCACGCGTGCACCCGCAGCCACCGCCGCCCGCTGGTTGGCCCAGTGCCCGTCCACGGTGGCCAGGATGTGGTAGGCCAGGGTGTGGAAGTGGATCCTGGTGAGCTCCGAGGCTCTGCTCCCGCTGCGGCCATGCTCCTTCAGGATCCAAAACAGGATGTCGCTGACCATGCCCACGTCGGGGAGCCCGCGCCAGGCAGGGAGGGAAGAGTGCGGGCCGCCCGCCGCCTGGCTGAGGAATAGCAGCTCCTGCTCATTCAGCCCAAGCGAGGTCACAGCCGGGAAGACCTGCTAACAAGACACACAAAGTGGCGGGTCTCCTTCTGAGGGACATCGGGCCCGAAGGTGTCCTAGACCATAGCCAATGGCCGGTGTGGGGGAGGGCAGCATCTTCCTCCCGAGGCAGCGCCCCGCTCAGAGGCCACTGTCCTGCTCATGACGTCTTCCGCTATCCCCCCTTTCAATCACACTCTGGACAAGCAGGGCAGTCACAGTCAGCCCTGTCTCCTGCCATTCTGAGAAAAAGGGTGGGGGAGTATCTAAGCTGTTTCTCACTTTCCCTTTGCACACACACACCCCTCTTCCTTGGAGGGACAGGACTCTTGGCTCTGGACGTCAGCAGGCTGGAGAAGACCTGGGACCGGGGGCTAGCACAGCAGCCAAGACTCGAGCCTGAGCAGGCCGATGCCCGACCCCACAGCAGTGCCGCATCCCTGCACCTTAGCTGAGCCACTGGTGGGAGTTCAGAGACTTGCCGGTGAAGCCTCGGGGCCTCCTGAGCACCACTAGGGAGCACACCCCCCTCCCTCCCCCACTAATGGAAATGACTGTAGCAATACAGCCAGGCTCTTGGAACAGGCATGGGTCAGGACTGCAGGGTGACAACAGGGTCGAAAAGGAGCCACTAAACTCACTTCCCTTATAGTTTTATTTTGCCTGGCAGTGCTCAGGAACTCCTCCTCTCTGTGCTTAAGAATCACTCCTGGCAAGGCTCAGGGAACCATAGGGATGCTCAGGGATGCCGGGGATCCATGCGATGCCATGTACGAGGCAAGTGCCTTACCTGCTGTACTATCCAGGCTATCCAGGCCCCTTGAACCCACTTTCAATCTTTTTTTTTTTTTTTTTTAGGGGAAGAGCCACACCTGGTGGTGGTGCTCAGAGCGACTCCTGGCTTTGTGTCAGGGATCACTCCTAGTGGGGCTCGGGGGCATCCAATGGGGCATCAGGGATCTAACCACTGTAAGCTGTGTGCCAGGCCCCCACTGTGCTGTTTCTGATGGGCAGGAGAGCCTGCCCCGACGCTGCCCAGGCCAGCTCCCCCGTCTGTTCCCCAAGGATGAAGCCCACCTCAGAGGGCTGCTCTGCTCCTGGGCCCAGCCTGAGGAGGTGGTTACCTGGTGGACGATGCTGCTCATGAGCTCCCGGTTGGTCATGCTGGCCAGCTCCAGGTGAACCGGAACGCCAGTGGGGATGTCAGAGAGGGAGGCGACCACCTGCGGAGAGCAGAGGACACAGCACTTCCGTGACACGGAAGAAGGATTTGATCCTGAGAGGCCGGGCCCTGTCTGTGGGTCTCAGTCCTCCCAAGAGCACAGGAAGGCCACCATGGCCAGGACTAGTTCAGTCGTGGCGGACCCCAGGTCTCCTCTCGCCAGGGAGACTGCCCGTACGCAGAGGGCGGCTCCTGCAGTGCCCAGCAAGCCAAGCTGGCATCCGGTGCCCGAGTTCGCAGATGCCACAGTGCCACAGCAGATGCAAGAGGTGAGACCCACCATGAGCACAAACTGTGGACACAGCTGCCTGAGGCCAGCCAGGGGAGCACGGGACAGAGGCTCAGGCAGCACCCTGACTACTCTGTGCAGGCACTTCCGGGCTCCAGAGAATCCGGGAGGTGCCTCGGTGGGGCGGGAATCTGAGCAGAAAGACTGTGCTTTGGTGGCAGGGCCATTACCTCCAAGAGCCGCTTCTTCTGGAGCTCCGGGCTCTGTCCCTCCATCATGTGCAGTCCCGAGAGCACCACCAAGTCGGGCCGGAACTCCTCCAGGCTTGACACAAACACCTCCAGCATGTTCATGGCCCCGTTGGAGAGGTCGTGGGAGAAGATGAATCTGTTGGCATGGGGGGCTTTTAACTGGCCCCACTCCTCCCCTAGAGAGGCCCAGTGGGCACACGAGCGGGGGAGAGAAAGGAAGAGGCTCTGTAAGTCTCCCAGCCCCGGTGGACTCAGCACTGCCTCCAGGAGGATGGGAGGGCGGGGGACAATAAAGATTCAGCCTCAGCCCTCAGCCCCCTCCCCAGATGGAAACACTGCACGGGGCTGTCCCTTCCCAGGGAATGGCGATGGCTTCCCCTAGAGCCCCAGGAAAGCAAACTGCCCCAGATCCTCAAATCCTGGCTTTCCCATGCTTTTCCAGTGAGGACGTGGGCACAGGGTGGCGCAGGGAGCCCCCCCCCACAGGCCCTGTGCAAAGACCCAGCCCTGAGCACCCCCCAGAAAGGGGCATATGAGGGCCAGAGTGCCCATCACCCCAGAGCTGCCCACCTCTGATTTTGGGCGCTTAACCTACAAGGCAAGAGGATCTGCCTGGGGGAGGAGTCCAGGTGCATGTAAGGCCCCCGGAGCAGGTCTGTGTCAGATTCGCTGGTGGCCAGACCCCAACCCCAGAGATGCTGATACACAGGAGGGCAGCGAGGGCTGACCAGGACCCCACGCTGAATGCCGAGAGGGCTGAGCTCTGGCTGCCATCAGGGTTTGGTGTGTACCAATGGCAGCTTTCCCAAACAGCACTCACAGCCTTCTCCATAAGTCAAGGTACAGATCTTGTTTTCTTCTTTTTTTTAGTGGGGGGAGGGGAGTCACAGTCAAGGGGACTCAGCCAAGGGTACTCAGATGTCCTACCTCCTGGCCCCACCTTCAGAGTTCCCCCCAATCAGTAGAGGGTTTCCTGCACTGCAGAACAGTCTGCCAATTTGCTGCCCCACAGTGACGGGCTTTCCCGGGGCTCCCTGCCTCTCTGGGGTGTGTGTGTGTGTGCACAGGGGCCTGGGGTTCCTTTAGAACAAGAGTGCGGGGGCTGGGAGATCCTTTCCTTCCCTGGCTTTGACTCTGCCTTACTGAACCCATTCCCCTGAAAAACGTTTTGTGGCTGGGTCCTTGTATAACCAAAAAGGAAAAGGTCACCTACCCATGAAGCCCTGACACAGTGGTTAAAGCGACACATTCCCTTCTTGCCTCCAGCCCTCAGCTCACCACCTGCCCACAGCAACTCCCAGCGGGGGCTTACAGAGCTGAGCTCAAGCTCGGTATGACCTCTGAGGACCCAGACCAGGATGGCCTTCCCAGAGGGTAGGAGTGGGGGGGGGGGGGGGGTCATTTCTGAGCCCCTCCTCAGCACGGCCCTGCAGAGAGCAACCCTGTCTCTCCTCTCTGTTCCCACATTTCCAGTCTCACACTGCACTGGGCACCTTGTCAGGGGAAGGAATTAGCAAAACAAGCAACGAGAACAGATCACTAACTTAGATGCCCACGACGACAGAAACAAAACAAAAACCAAAACATGGGTATGTACCAATCCAACCTTTGTCCAATGCCTGAGGCGAGAAGGACGCAAGACGCTGATCCCCTCCCTGGGCAGAGCGGCCCAACCGGACTCCACAGGAAAGTACTGAGCAGCACAGCTAAGCTACTCGCGCGTCACCCACGGGCCAATGGTGAAGAGGTGAGGCACACACAAGGGCCGTGGCAGCTCATCACTGGCTGCTCCCACAGACACAGGGTTGAAGGAGCCAGAGGAGCAAAATGATGGAAACTCAGACAGGATGAGTCGGTGACACAGCCAGTGTCACCTCTTTCCTCCCAAGTCTGAGTTCATTTCTGCCAGGCATTCCTCCTCTGAACTCACCACCGTGCCACCCCGCTGGTGACTCAGCAGAGCAGTGACTCACGAGGTCCCCAGCCTAACACCTGCAAGAAAGACACTTGGGTGCGGGCGGGGGATCGGAGGAGAACGATGGAGGGGGACTCGGGCCCTCTGGGGACTTTGGCCTCTGGGAAGAGAGATGGGCAGGACTGACGGCTGTCAAGGGAGCTGACCCCATGGGCTGTGCCACTGGCGGGGCCTGTTCTAGGAGCTGATGAGAAGGTGCCTTCCCTGAAAGCCGACCAGAGCCCAAGGGCAGGAGACCTAGAAAAAGAAACCTAGGTGTACAGCTTCCAAAAGTCAGGACAGACAGAGCCCCCTGTGGAAGGAGCTGTGTTCTCCTGTGCATGGGGCACACCTGTCTGATGCAATGGGGGGTCTGGCAGAAGGAGCGAGTCTCTGCATGGAGTCAGCCGGACCCGACGGGAACAGAAGCCAGAAGGTTCCACCTGAAGTGAGAGCCCATGGCCCCCAGCTCTCCTGGGCCCTGCCCGCCTGCGCCCCACTCCTGCCTTCAGCCAGGCTCTCAGAGCGCAGGGGCCTAGCCTCAGCCCCACCCTACCTCTGGGCAACAGATACCGACTTTACAGCGGGGAACAGAAAAACGCAAAGAGATTTCTGTGACACGCCAACTCCAGCACCCTACCTAATCTCGGACATCCCCTTCCTGGCTTCTAATCCTAGGAAGCACCCCAAAAGAACCAGAAACAGGGTTAGGGATATGGCTCAGTGTCGAGCAAATACCCTGATGTGTTCTCTCCCTAGCACCGTGCCAGCCCCCAGAACAAGTGAACAATTTTTTTTTTTTTGTACTTGGAGAAAGCCCTGAGTCTCAGCTTAAAGAACATCACTCCAGAGACTGAGTTTCCCCTAATGGCCTGATCTGGAGGCAGCTCACGAAAGCCTGCTTGAAGGTCCAATCAGGTCTACTCAGATGCCTGTGTCTAACTGGAATTAATAATGCACTGAATCAGAAAGGCAGGAGCCTGACTTCTGAGCAGAGGCAAGATACAAAAGCGAATACACAGGAGAGAACAGACAGAACGTTAACATTCAGGTTATTTCGAATCTGATCAGACACCACATCACTAGTCTCTGCGATGCAGGAGGTTTCTGAGGAGGCAGGGTGCCTGAAGGGGTGGATTTGGATTTATAAATACCAGAAAGTTATAGAGTGGGGAATAGTTGCTACCAAATAAGAAACACTTCTACACACAAGGGAAAAATACAATGCTTCACATGAAGCTTGCTCCGGTTCCGGAATTAATCCTAAATAAGCAGCTTGGAAGAGTTGACAGAAAGGCCTGGGGCAGAACCCAGGAGAGCCGAGCAGATGTTACCTGACCTTTTCTTTTTATAGCATTAAAGAAAAACTTTATATAAATGTGTGTGCTCAGTGTGTTCTCATTGTGATTCTTGATGTCCAAGTTCCCTTACAATCAGATCCTTTCTATCTGGAGACCCAGGAATTCCCTGCAATGCTGTGATACTGTCACTCTGAAGATAATGTCCAGAGACAGCCCAGAGGGACACCAAGGGGTTCAGCAATCTTTGGCACGATGAGAACAAAGGTGGCTTTCAGCAGACACTCAGCAAACAGTGTCCCGGCCCAGGCTTACACCATTAACTCGCTCCTTTTCTTACCTGCTTGATACTCTAAGATGAGGTGGAACTCATCTACTTCTTGCAATGACTCTGGAGGAACGAAAACATTGTCATCAAGAAGCTCGTGCAGTTTTGGACCAACTGGACCACAAAGAAGAACCTGGAGACAAGAAATGTGACATCCATCAGGAGACCTAAAAGGAAGAGGGTCCAGAGCAATGGTCCAGCAGGTAGGGCGTTTGCCTTGCATGCGGCCGACCTGGGTTTGATCCCTGGCACTAGCATGCCATATAACTGGTTCACCCTGAAACCCCACCAGGAGTGACTCCTGAGCGCAGAGCCAGGAGTAAACCCCGAGCACTGCCCGGTGTGTATGTGTTGTGGGGGTATTCCCAAGCTACCAGAATTTCTTAAAAAGTTTTTTTTTTTTCCCATCTTACCCCTAGGCATATTTGCAACATTTTTCTTCGAGGCATGGCAATTATTCTGAGTGTCAAAAACTATCATGTCTACTAAGTATTTAATTTAGAAAGACAAAAGTTTCCTGCCACTGAGGACATTGGTGGTAGGGAATGTTCACTGGTGAAGGGATGAGTGCTGGAACATTCTATGAATAAAAACTGGTCATGAACAACTCTGAAACTGTGTATCTCAAGGTAATTCAATAATAATAATAATAAAAAAGACAATCCTCTCAACAACCAGGGGGCCAAATCTGCGGGATCAGGCTCCGGCTCCATACAGGAGAATTAAAGACTAATTCAGAAAGTCTTGGGGAAGTGTGCTCTGCACCTTTTCCAAAAGTTGAATTCCATCCTAGGCCCTTCCGTGGTTATCCCTCTAAGAAAACATTTCACACCCACTTTCGTTTCTTGGTTCCACCAAGTTGCCAGTTCTGCCAGATCAGCTCTGGGCCCCACTCATGCACGGGCCAAGAGACTTAAACGATGGCACAAAATGGGCGTGAGCAGGGAAGGGAAAGCCAGTTCCCAGGGAAGATCACCACCACCCCACATTTAACAAGCATCACCCAGAATCTTCAAAGGGTATGAATGAGGCTTGTTAATTAACTGCTCATTTGTGGAGAGGCACTTTCATGTCTCCAACTGAGAAAGCTCAGCGTCTCGGTGAGAATCTCCCTGCATCCCTCCTCAGTGACCCTGGCCCCTTCTATGCCAATTCTGAAAAGCCTCTCCTCCAGCACTTAATTCTGTCTTTAATTCTTGGCTAAAAGTTCAGTTTTCAGAATGAGATAACTAGGGTTAGATTTATCACCCTGTCTAAAACAATGTCAAAAAATCAGACAAGATGAAACAATGTTTTTTCAAGTTGTTTAAACACTAGGCAAGAAGGACCAATGACTCCTAAGAAACAAGAAAGAGTAAAGGGAGTCCTACCGATGCTACAGATTACCTCCCAGGAGGTTTCAGACACACACAACCTGAAAGAGGGCTCTCAAATCAGTGACCCCAGCTTCTACCGTAAGAAACTAGAAATCTGGAAATTAAAAGTACAGGGAGCTAGCACCTCACTCCTGCGAGACTCCCACATCAAAAGACCTGAAACAGGGTCAGTGAAGGTGTGAAAGGAACCTTCATGCAGCCATTCCTCGGGTTAGAGCCAGAAATATCCTATGGTGCAGTATTTGAAGAATACAAAACCACTGATCTGAGGCCCAAGGTAGCCTGGTGGTTAAGAGTCTGAGTTGTGGGGCTGGGAAGAGCAAGGGCTAGAGCACATGTGTAGCACACAGGAGCCCCGGATCCAATCCCTGGCACCGGCAGAGACCCTAAGCACTGTCAGGCATCACCCCTGGAAATCCCCCCTCCCCCTCTCCCTGCCCCCCTACCAAAAGTCTATGAACTGAAGAGCCAGACTACTTGGGTTCCTAAGTATATGGCCTTGGGCAGTTTTAACCTCAGTTTCTGCTATCTACAAAATGGGCACCTCCATTCTTGCATGTCCCCTATAATTATTTAAGAATTAAGGATTATAAGGGTTGAAGGAGGTATAAAAGACATAAAGAGACATAAAGCCCTTAAAACAATGTCTGGCACATGGCCATAATGAAATGCTAGTTGTTACTATGCGTGACTTTGGAAAATGCCTCGTTCACTCTCTTTCTCTCACTGGCTTATGTTATTGTTGTGGGGGCCACACCTGGTATGGTGCTGGGGGGGAAGGGGCGGCAGGGCTGGTGGTGCCCTGGGGGAGCCGAGGGAACAGCGGGGGAGGGAGCTGGTGGCCGAGAACGCTGCATTTGGGACAGAACCGAAGGTCTCACACAGGCAAAGCCCGTGCTCTTGTTACGGGAGTTCCATTCCTGGCCTGAAAACATATATCCCTCACTCTGAATCTCTGGTAGTACTCAGCTGAGAACTATATGGAGAAGTAGTTCACTGAGAGCCAGCAGGGTGACAGGGAGCTGGCACAGGCACCCCTGTGTCCTCTTGCGCTGGCATCTCCCTGCATCTCTTTTCACTAGAATGCTTTCCAGTGAGTCCTCAAGAGCACATGCTGACCCCAGGGAGGTCACTGAAGAGAGGGTGATCTGTCTACACTGAGGGCGTGCAGGATGCTTCCCAGGGCCAGAGTGAGTCCTCAGCGCCAAGAGGCCAGCCTGTAACGGGGCCATCCCAACAGTGCTCAGGGCCTGGCTCTCTCTCAGACACTCAGGACCGATCTTCTCTTCTGTCCGCTAACTGGTAATTTTTCTGGAAGACAAATCCCGCAGTAGCTAAATCTTTGCTATTTGGGCACTAATACCTATAAAAGATGATGACGGCAAAGAGTCTGTATTTCTGCACTGGCCTGGCACGCGGCTGACCCAGGTTTGATTCCTCGTTTGATCTCTGGCCCCCCAAGCACGCAGCATGATCACTGGCCCTTCGAAACATGTGGCTGGGAGTAGCCCCCATGCACTGCTGGGAGTGGTTCCCCACCCCCACCCCACGCTGACTGTCCTCATTTCAATGTACTCGCCATGGCTAAGAACATTCATTCTTGGTTGGCAGTAACTCCACGTGAATTTCCCCCTCAAAGTGTGAATTATCTGTTAACGGATGCATCCTAGGACGGCTGGGTTCTCGGGCCCTGAGCCGTATTCCATTTGCCAGCTGCTCCCCCTGCCCCCACTAGAGGATCATTTAGGGTCCCCTTTCTAAAGCAGCCGTCGCTACATCTTCTGTACTTCTCAAGTTTACTCTAGAGTCATCCCCCTGAAATCGATCATCTTCTGGTCCCCACGTGTGGCCTAGCACCGTGATTCCATTCTGGATTATTTCTCTTCGCCTGGCTACTCTAACCCAAGCCACAGTTCAGTTATTCCAGGTAGTTCGAGGGAACACACTGGGTGCCCTGTGGGAGCGAGGCAGATGCCCCTGGTAGATCTTACAGAATGGCTGCACTTCTTATTGGTTGTGGGGCCTCTCTCTGGCTCAAGCCTTATATGCAAAGGCAGATACCAGCTCAGCAACCACCTTCCACCGACCAGCCCACGGTAGCTAGTTCAGTCCTGAACTTGAAAACGAAGTATACAGCACTAAACACAGCGCCAGGCAGATGGAAATAATGTTACGAGAGCATCAGCTACTTTTTCTATGCCTTCTAAGGAGAGGCCCAGGGTTCAAACTATACGCCAGAGATACTCATTCTTACTCATTATTAAAAAGCCCCAAGTTTTAATCTGGGAATTTGGCTTACCTTTAAATCCGAGTGGGCTGCAAATTTCTGTCCAATTAAAGCTGCATTCCCTCCTACATAGTGCTGTAAAATAATTCAAGATTTCTATTTTAACAAAACCTTATTACCCAAGCTTAATAAAGTTTCGATTTATTGATTTTTGGGGGGTGTTTGGGGGGTAGGGATTGTCGTACATGGTGGCTCAGGGCTTATTCCTTGTTCTGTGCTCAGGGGTCACTCCTGGTGGAGCTCAGAGGGACAGAACCCAGGTCAGCCATGTGCAAGGGCAAGGCAAGCACTCTATCCACTCGTACTCCACCCCCTATTAACTAAGTTGTATAACAGTCCCTTTTTTGTGGGGCAACATCTGGTGGTTCTCAGGGCTTACTCTGGCTCTGTACTTCGGAATCACTCCTGGTGGGGAACTGGGGGACCGTAAGTGGTGCCAGGGATCAAACCTGGGCCACTTGCATGCCTTACCCACTGTACTACCACTCCGGCCCGAGTCTTTTTTTTTTTTTAATAAAGAGATTTTACAACACACAAATGAAGTTAATGAAATATCGCCCCATAAGTTAATAACAGGCAAGGATTTATAAGCTAAAAGACCAAATAAAACAAGGCGATCAAGAAAACTAGTATAACTGCCTGATCCGTAGATAAAATTTGACCTGGCCTTTTCCTTTTTTTTTTAAACTTTTTAAAAACAGAGGTGTGGATCAAACCCAGGGCCAGATGACAACGCAAGGCATGTACTCTGTCAAGAGCCACATCCCTGGTCCCTTAAATTCGGCCCTGAGCTTGCAGGAAGCCAGAAGGAAAGAAGATGGGTATTATCCCCCAAATAATTACAGCAAGTGCTCCACTGGAAAAGGCAAACACACACACCTAAAAGGATTTCTTCCATAATGGGGAGACAGATGATTAGGTCATTCTCCGAACAGGAAGTAAAATTCAATGTTTTATATGAAGCAAACAAGCCTTCACCACCCCAGTCTTTCCTTTCTACCTTCCTCCCCGCCTTCCCTTCCACCCCACTGCTCTCGCCTCTGCCTCCGCTCTCTCCAGGCCCTCAGCACACGCCGCTCCTATCACTGAATTCTTGCCCCTTCTCAGCCCTTGGAAGATCCCTGAGCCTTCTCAGCAAGTGGTTATAGCATCATTCTCCTGTGAGGCCTCCCACCCCCTCACTGACTCCTCTCCAGATAGGATGACCCGTTCCCTGGTGACCCTGGGCTTTCAGCACACCTCTAAAGGGCCCCTGTCCACCTGGACTTTTTCATGTGGGTTCCGAACAAGTGTTCCAAACAGACGGGGCCTGTCTGATTACAAGAAGCGCTCCTCAACGTCGACCACACACACACACACACAGGAAATGCAACGGCTTCCCGGGAGTGAAGTCTAAAGGGAGAAGCCCTAGCCAAGGACCACGTTTTCTCCGAAAGAGACAGGCTCTCAGTCAGTCAAAGACCTGGCACTGGAGAACAGACATCAAGAAAGGAATTCCATATTCGTAAGGATGGACCCGCCTGCTCTGGAAAGCTGACAGGAGACTGGACTGGTGATCTGTTGTAAAAATTTGAGAAGCCCAATCCAGTCTCGCTTGTGTGGAAGCTGCTGTTCGGATTTGGTCCTCCTCGGCCGCATCCACTGGCATAGACTAAACAACTCTAAGTGTTAGCCAACACGACCATCCTGTCTAGACCCAACTCTGTAACAATCAACAGCTTTCTACAGAGTAAAACTTCCGAGGCTGAAAATCTGCCTTTTAACATGTTAGTCTTAACCTACTGTATCAAAACTCTTGGGGAAAACTATTAAGAGTCTACCAAGTGGGCTTCAGAGTTTTTAAGAAAAATAATACTAAGTTATAAACTGCTGCTTAACAGTTTAGAGTTTGAAAAAGCACCAAATTCAGTAAAATGCTTAATATTACAAAGGCACAAATTAAGTCAGGCTTTCGAACATAAAGAAATTACACAGGGCCAGCGGGATACTACAGTACTACAGGGGGTGAGGCATCTGCCTTGTATGCAGCCAACTTCAGTTTGATCCCCAACAACAGAGCCAGGAGTAATGTCTGACCGGCACCAGCGGAGGCCCAAACACACTCCCTCCCCAAAAGAAATAACGCAGATGATCAAAAAGCTAGATACAAGTTTCAGTTAAAAAAGTTTTTGAGTTACAGAAAAAAAAAAAAAGCGGGAGGGCGAGCAGGATTTCAAGGCAGAAAACAGACTCAAGTAGGTGGTTTAAATATCACAATCATAGGATGTCTAAGTAACATACTTGTCATCATGTAAGAATGGCTAAGATTCTCACAAGAGACCGCTGGGCTTGGCTGTCCAATGACGGCACCTGGAATTTTAACTTGCTCTTTGGAAACTCAACTGGGTTATAGGTATGCTCATTAAACTAATGTTCGAATGGGCAGCTTCAAAGGAAGAAAAAAAAAAGAAACCAAACCCAACCTTTAAAATCTTGAATTAGTAAAATAAAAAGTCCTCCTAAAGAGTGGCCCATGGAAGGTACCAAATAAAAATGGCATTAAGAGCTTTCCTCGTGAAACCACACCTGGGCAGGGAGACTAACCTGAAGACCTTAGGTAAGAACAGTGCCGGGGGGAGGCGAAGATGCTGAAACGAAGCAGAGGTATGGGGCCGAGGGCATGCACAGGAGCAGCGCTCAGGCCTGGCACTAGGCCAGCTGAGCCTCACTGGCCCATGCAGACTCGAGGTGCAGCTGTGTGATCAAGGCGGGCCTGGGAACCTTCAAGGTGTCTCCATCTGACAGGTCCTACTCTGCAGATCAGTGCTTCTCCAAACAAGATCCTCAGACTGACATCAACACAGGCAGGAAACCTGCCACAAAGGCAAACCGGATCCTGTCCCTCAACAACAGAACCAGGAACCTGGGGCCCAAGCCCAGGGACCCACTTTAAAAACCTCTCCAAGTGATTCGGACGTGTGCGCAGGTCTGAGAAGCCCCAGCCACACCAGTGGTCCTTGACCAGCGCTGATTTCGCTCCTCTCCGCAAGCCCGGGAACATCAGACCATGTCTGGAGATGTGTTCGGCTGTAAGAGCCCGGGGTGGAGGGCAGAGGAAAGTGCTATTCTCATCTGGCTGCAGACACCAGAGAAGGTGGCAAACATCTTCACGGTGTGAAAGACGGGGCTCTCACCACAGAGAACTATCCAGCTCAAATGTGAATAGGTCCAGCCTGAGAAAACTGGGCCAAAAAGCAGAGTGGCAGTTAGGGCCTGGGAAAGGGCGAGAGACAGTTCTCTGATGTTTTGGCTCAAAGGACTCAGTCGCAGTAACATGACGCAAGTTATCAACCACGGCAATGACCACAGAGGTCAGGAATACCTGTTTTCCTCACACGTTTGATCATCTTATACTTGGGTGAAATGGAAAACAACTGAGTTAAGGGAAGAACCAGACCCAAAATTTGGGTATACACGCTTTATAAGCGGTGGGTGAACTGAAGCAGCGGAGTGAACAGAAGGCCAAATACAATCTTATAGAAAGGGAAAAACGTGGAGTGTTAAAGTCCCAGCAATCACCTTCGTGGGCCAACTCAGAAGCTGGTGGGAAAACTAGATTGGCTGCTTCTCAGGACCACATAAAAAAGTAACCAGGGGCCGGAGCAACAGGAGAGCGGGGAGAGCACTGGCCTTGCACACGGCTGACCTGACTTGTGTTCCATTCCTAGTGCCTTATACAGTTCCGGAGCCCTGCCAGGAGTGATCCTTGAGTGTGGAGTCAGGGGAAAGCCTGAGCACAGCCAGAGTGGCCCGAAAACCAAAACCAAACAGCCTCCTCCCACCCCCAAAAAAAGGGGGGAGGAAAAATATGACCTTTTCCACCCCACCTTAAGTCCCTAGAGATGAAGCCGACAGACCTGGGCTCCAGGGAATGCGGACGCCGCCTGTGCTATGGCGTGGAAGGCTTCTTGGTCGCCGAAGAAGCGCTCGGCAGCTGCTCCCTTGCCCATGAAGTGAAGGAACGCCTCTTCCAGGTCAGCGCGGGAATGCAGGATGGCGTGGTCCTTCCCCTGCCTGGGACTGAGGCCCAGCGCCTGCAAGAGCTTCACTCCCGAGAGCACCACATCCACACAGGCGTTGACCCTGGGGAAGGAAGGAAACAGAAGGGGTGTAGGAAAGACAGCAGCACCCGGGCGGCTACCTCAGGCAGGGCTCCTGAGAACCATCTGCAGAGAAACCAATGAAGGGGTTATCTGAAACCTCCATCCACCAGGACCACACCATGGGACAGGAGACTGCTTTATCCAGATGTAAGTCTGAGGGTCTGGAGTGATAGCACAGCGGTAGGGCGTTTGCCTTACAAGCGGCCAACATGGCCGACCTGAGTTCGATTCCTCTGCCCCCCTCGGATAGCCCGGCAAGCTACCGAGAGCATCTCGCCCGCACAGCAGAGCCTGGCAAGCTCCCCGTGACGTACTCGATATGCCAGACACAGTAACAACAAGTCTCACGATGGAGACGTTACTGGGCCCGCTCGAGCAAATCGATGAACAACAGGAGGACCGTGACCGTGACCGTGAAGTCTGAGGGTCACGTCACGGGATTCTGATCAACAGTAAAGCAAATGGTTACAGAGAACCCAGCGTTTCAGAAGAAGGCTATCTTGGTTATACAAATACAGCATTCCCTATGAAACGCAGCAGACCAGACTGCGGGGCTCCATCCTGTGACTTGGGCATCACACCCCTTCCACATCTGAGTTCCAGTTTCCTCACTTATGCAGTGTTAGCATTGAACTCAAGACGGCTGTAAAGTGGACATCAGTTAGTGTATGCTCACGAAGCTTGGTGCTGAATCAGCAGACAGATGTTTCGGTCAAAAGTCAAGTAACAGACACTGTCAGATGGGGGTCAGATACACTAAATACCCAACTGTCTACAATACTCCCCGGTGCAACTCTCAGAACAGGGTGGTGCTGTGTAGACAGTGGCACGCCTGTCATCTGGTGACCACTGTCCCATGGTGGCTGCTCTCTGCTTCGTAAGGACCCTGTGGGGTGGGGCAGCGCCCAGGAAGTTACAAAAGTACTTCCTCAGGGCTCTGGAACAGCATTCCCCAGGTGTGCACAAAAAGGTTCTGGGTGCTTCATTGTCACTTGGCTAAAATTAATCCCTTGATGGAGAGGGGACCCATGAGGGGAAGAGATGAGGCCTTTCTGCTGTCCTTCCTCTGGGTCACCTTTTGAGTGCCTCTACCTGCCAGGCTGTGTCACAAGGGCCCAGCTGGCCACATGGGAGCCTTCCGCAGTAGATGGTGCCTTGGGCTTCTGGGTTAATCCCAGTAGCTCTGAACCTGTCCACAGAGGCCTAATGAGCAGGTAGGGGTTTGTGTGGGGCCAGAGGCAGGCACTCTACCAGTGACCTGCATCTTATTCTGTGAGAGATACTAGCTACTGCTTCCCTGCTAGTGGCCCGGAAAAAACCCGCTCCCTCGCTTTGTATGCAGCTGAGCCAGACTCGATCCCATATGGTTCCCCAAGCTGAGCCAGAAGTCAGTGCTGAGCACCTTTGGGTGCCAAAACTGAAAAATTAAGAAAATAAAATCAGTTTAAAGAAAAAAAGACAAAACCTAATAAAAAGAATCACAAATTAAAGAGAGGTTGAGTTTGCAAAACTACAAAAAAAAAAAAAGACCCCAAAACCTAAACAATAGGACTGGTACATTCTGCAACAGAAGGCAAAGTCCTAGTGGTCTTCAAGTTAAAAAAGAAAATCCATCATCAGTATGAAGACTTTCCACTCTGCATCTAATCATGTCACAAAGTCTTACAGAAATGTGAAGTGGAACAAGGAAAGCCTCTTTAGCAAATGGTGCTGGCATAACTGGACAACCACATGCAAAAAAAAAAAAAAATGGGCTTAGACCTCGACCTAACACCATGCACACAAGTCAGATCAAAATGGATTACAGATCTTAACATCAGGCCAAAATCCATAAGATACACTGAAGACAAGGTCAGCAAAACCCTCCAGGATATTGAGGCTAGTGGTATCTTCAAAGACGACACTCCACTGACCAACCAAGTGGAAACAGAGATGAACAAATGGGACTATCTTAAATTAAGAAGCTTCTGCACCTCAAAAGATACAATAACCAGAATACAAAGACAATCGACAGAATCAACAGGATATTTACCCAATACCCATCTGACGCTATTCAGGTCTCCCAAAGAAGAATAGAAAGAGCTATGCTTGGAATATCACGTTTCACTCAAATGAGAGAAAGAATCCGGAGTTCCGACATCAAGAATCAGGGATGCTGTCTCGTTTGCCAAGGTGTCAAAAATCAGATGGGCTGGTCACGTAATGAGATTTAAAGACGACCGCTGGACTAGAGCTGTTACCGACTGGATCTCACGGGATGTCAAAAGACCGCGTGGCCGCCCACCTACCAGATGGTCAGACTTCTTCGTCAAGATCATGAACGATCGGTTTGAGGCCCTTCATGTTCCCGGAGCGAACAGATGCCATTGGGCTACATGGATTTGACAGGGACAAATGGAGACGTTACTGGCGCCCGCTCGAGCAAATCGACGACTAACGGGAAGTTAAGTGATAAGTGATTAAGTGACCCATCTGATAAAGGGTTGATATTAAGGATATACAAAGCACTGGTTGAACTCTACAAGTAGAAAACATCTAACCCCATCAAAAATTGGGGTGGAGAAATGAACAGAAACTTTCCCAAACAAAGTCTTATAGAAGAAATATTTTTTAAATTTATTTTTGCGAAGCAAGATCATTTTATTGAAACTTTAGAAAAATTGGAGGGGAAAGAAACACCTGATCAAGAGAGAACACAAGACTTCTCCAGAAACGAGTAGAGAGAAAGAAGCAAGAGAGATTGATACAAGTGCAAGGGAAAACAAAGGCTTGACAAGCAAGTCTCGAAGAAAAATTTCTAATTGAAAATGTTCTACAAGGGACCAGAGCAATAGTACAGCGGGGAGGGCGATTGCCTTGCACATGGCCGACCCGGGTTTGATCCCCGGTATCCAAATGGTCCCCTGAGCACCGCCAGGAGTAATTCCTGACTGCAGAGCCAGGTGTGACCAATAACAAGAAAGAAAATGTGTTATAATAAAAAGATGCCTGGGCATCTTTGTGTGCCAGATACCAAGCATTTTTACATGTGTTTTCTTGTGATTTTAACCAGAGGAAGAATCTTGTCTACATCTACCCAATTCAACAGGATGGCTATGTGTAAATACATTGCCTAGGTGCTTTGGTATCAGAGGAAATCAAGGGAGGGCATGAAAGAACCCGAAGACAAAAATTATACAAAATTATATATTCAAGTGAAACATATGTAGAATTCCAATGAGAAATGCATGAGAGATTTGAGAAAGCAAACACAGATGAAAACAATGGGAAACAAAGCAAGGCACCAGATGGTGAATTCCTCAAGAAGGAAGCTGCAGGTACACACAAAGGGAGCCCAGACCTAGGGCCGACTTGGAGGAACAGGAGGGGACACAGGTGCGTCTGCTGGACCCTAAATGACTAAAGGACAAGGAGAGTGGTTCTCACTGCCCCTCTAAAATGTTTCTGAAGGTTCTTCCCCACTGTATCATCATGCCACAGATACTGTAAGAGTTAACATCACTGTCTTCCCGTTGTTCATTGATTTGCTCGCTGGCCCAGTAACATCTCCATAATGACAATTGTTAATTGTTACTGTGTTTCGCATATCGAATACATCATGCTAGGCTTTGCCTTGCGGGCAAGATACTCTTGGTAGCTTGCCAGGCTCTCCGAGAGGGGCAGAGGAATTGAACTCGGGTCGGCTATGTTGGCCGCCTGCAAGGCAAACGCCCTACCCGCTGTGCTATCGCTCCAGTCCAAAAGTTAACATAATCCCTGTAAGATCTAGAAGTCTAGGGAAGAGAAAGCCCTAAGAGCCAGGACAACAGTCCCAGACTGAGCCCTGACTCTGGACATGGTGGCATATACTGGAACTTATGTGCACTGCTGGCAAGGCGGCCTCTTCTGGCAGCTCACACAAATCCCCAGGCTCTAAGCCAGAGATGGGGGACATCACTGCCTTCTGGCTGGGAAAAGGAGGCCAGGCGTTAACATTTCAAAGGCCAGGACTGGAGGGCCCTAAAGGCAAGGTGAGATTTATCAGACAATGAAATCCATGCAAGGAGTTTGCACAAGCAAAGACCCCAGGAAGGAAATCGGCTCTGGACACAATGACACTAACCTAGTCAAAAGGGAGACTTGGACAGGGGAGAAGAGCAAGTCAGGTTCCAAAGGTCAGAACGAAGCCAGGGACGGGGCCAGGTTACAAAGGCAGAGAGGCCGAGCCCGCCATCACCCGCAAGCCACAGGCGCCACCCAGGGGAGGCGGCACCCATTATAGAAAGATGTGGTGGGTTCATCACTGACCCTCTTCTGGAAACTTTTTTTTTTTCCTTTTTGGGTCAAAACTGGCAATGCGCAGGGGTCACTCCTAGCAGTACTCGGGGGGCCATATGGGATGCTGGGAATCACACCCCGACTGGTCGTGGGCAAGGCAAACGCCCTACACGCTGTGCTATCGCTTCAGCCCCTCAAAACTTCTTTATCTGTCTAGCCCCTTTTCCCCCAAGTCCCTTGTGTGCTGTCACTTTCCAGAATCGCACCCTTGCCAGTCCCTTCCCCTCTCCTCCTCTCTCAGGCAGCTAAGCCTGCAACCTCACAATATGTTCCTCGACTCTAGCCCAGTGTTTTCCCAAGTGGGAGATACTTGCACCAGTGGGGGTGGGGGGGGGGGTCACAGGGGTGGCAATGAACCAATCCAGGAAGGTGGCAGTAGTCTCAGGTGCAACTGATGGAGGATGCTTTCTGTTTGTTCGGTTAAAGAATATTTGAAGAGAAAGAGGTGGGCCAAATTAGTCTGGGTGCCTCCACCGCCCTCTGGTCCAGCTGCACTTGAAACCCAACAAGAATGTTTAGTAACAAGAATGCTTATTTCCCCTCCTCTTAGACCCCATGGGTTATCTTGCACCACAAATGACTTCCTTCTCTTTTTTCTCTCCCAATGGCGGCAATGTGGCATGAACATTAATACAGCCAAGCTGCATCTCTGGCAAGTCAGAG